GATAACTACCTTGAACTTATCAAGGAGCACCTCACTCCTACACCGGCCAATATAGCCTGCACTGAAGCAGATCTTGGGTTTGTTCCCATTACCAGACATGATTTGTCCATCCTGTTAACTATATCCCCCACCCCAGATCCTGGAAAACATAGTCTCGTCCTATTTCTACTGTTGGCACAGAAAGCTCTATCTAGGTACCTTATCTGGGAATCCCCATCAATTGAGGTTTTCGTACCTTCCTTGTTAGCCTTGTCCTTGACTATGTTACCATCCAAGTCAATCCAAGTCATCAACCAAAGAAATAACAAAAGTTAGTACACTTAGCTGTTGTAATTTCCTTGTTGTTAGGTTAGGATGATTAGGTTAGGTTGGTTAGGTAACATCAAAATCATTCAAAACAAGTCAAACTGTCGGAAAAACACAGGGATGACCGAAACCAAACCAAGTAAACTTCAGGAACATAACCCGTTTGCCAGTTGGGGACTGCCAGAACTAATACATGTATAGTATATATATTCTATAAGTCAGCTTTTTCCATTCAAAGCATTATAATGGTGTTATTTATTAAGATACTTTAATGATCTTATTTACGATCTAGAGAAGGTTTGGTTCGTTAGGTATGGTGATGGCGAGTTAGGAAGTAATGGCAAGCAATGTTTGGTTAAGTGAGAACAAATAATAATAGGTTATGATAAAGAACGTGATCTTCATGTTTATACCAATACAAAACAACTCCTTATCCCCCCCCCCCACACAAAAAAACAATCAGGCGCCCCTGTAAACATACGCAAGGTTGCGGCTAAAATTTTAACTATTATTAAAATTTAAGTTATCTAATACAGTACTAAAGCATACCTTATCATTATTGCTGAGTAGACTTCTTTCAGCTTTGTGTGCTTCAGCATCAGAAATCCTTGATCGCTGGTAACTATAAATAGTAAATTTCAGATTCAGGTAATTTTTGGCTGGATGACAACCAAATAATTCATATCTTAGATTCCGAACTTTCGTTTCACTTCTAAAATGCGGTTTACAAATCACTGCATTCTTCACATTTATTAAGTCTGCTCTATGGCAACGTTGTACCCATATATCTCCATATTATTTCTGCTTTGGAAATGGAGTACACCCAAGCACGGCACACACTTGCTCGCCTCATCGGTAACTTATTATAAGTTAATAAATATCTTTTCCCCTTGGTTCAATTCTACTTTTAGTAATAGTCACCTGGTGACAAGAAACATCTAGATTTGCAACAAAATACACTGTTTTTCACTGCTTTAAACCCAAATATTGTACTTGCGCACCGGTATCACTGTGTTTACAAACTGACGCGGCTGACTGACGGCCCCATTCTCTGCCCCAAGTCGCTACGATAATGGCGTCGTTAGTTCCAATACGCGGCCTTGCGTCTAGTTATTGAGTGTTTATCCTTTGTTTAATTTAGACAAGGTTACGTTAGCGTTATTAAGTTAGATTAGGTTGGCATTACGGTAGTTAATTTTCAAGTGATATAATCTAAGGAGGCTAGTCTTCAATTAATCCCAAACTTGCAAACTATCAACTTTATCAAGATGAATGATGGTGCAGATTATTAACACGCAATTCGAACACGCTACATAGTACATTGAAGGAGATTACGACGTAAACCATTTATTAAATTGTGTGATTCAAACCAACCAAACCTATCATAAATAACCCTAATCAAAACTAACTTGAAATACTAGTTAAAGTTAGGCTGGTTAAGTTAGGTTTGGCTGGTTCATTATACTGCCGTAAATGACCATTCCGCCGACAAGAGTACGACGCTTCACAAAGGAGAATTTTTATATTTTTCTTGCCCAGGTCACTGACCCACATTGGGGCCTGGGGGCGAAAATGTAATAATAATAATAATAATAATAATAATAATAATAATAATAATAATAATAATAATAATAATAAATAAGTCATAATCATTCATAATAAATAAAATTTATGATAAAACAAACAAAAATAATGATGATAATAATATTAATAATAAAGAACTATAAATACAAAAATGAAAAAAAAAGATCAAAAGTGAGAAACGATATATGTATGTTGTGTTGTCAATGGTAAGAGAAACAATTGAGACCCTGCAATTGTGTGTAAATGAGGCAGAAAGTCAGATCAACAACCTGGGACTTGGTCACAATTTTTGTGATGCCATATGGCAGCAGGGTCTACCATTAGACAACACAATATGCTTCCAATATCTTCCCAGGCGGTAGTACCTCCCTGTTTGGTAACTGTGTTTACATGTGAATACGAACGCGTGTGTGTGTGTGTGTGTGTGTTTGTGTGAGACACTGGAATTTGCTCTTAAACACGCAAATCTTTTGTTTACCAAAGGAATTATCACAACTTACCTCCGTCCTTACGTAAAAACATTCTAAATCACCAACACAAATACGTAACTCAGAATTAATAATATTACATCCGTTAAACACGAAACAAAAGCATAAATTTTTACTTTAAACCTACATCGCAGATGGTCGTTTTAAAGAAAACTGAAGGAAAGAGAACTAAGCAACAACTATGCAAATATGCGAGTCGTTTGTGTTAACTTGTCGACAGTAATTATTCCCGAGCGTCGCCCTACCATAATAATAATAATAATAATAATAATAATAATAATAAACACTACCACCATAACAACATAGGCTAAACAGTAATATATTCGAAACAACAGTTACGATTAAGGACACTGGTTATGCCAACAATGGTAATCATCACTTTCACCCTAACCTTACATAATCACCTTCCTCAACCATCCACATACACACATAATTGATACAATACAGTCAAATACAACAACAGGTTTCGCGGAGCGTGTCTCATACATCAGATTAAACTACAACTGTATTTTCTCACTTCTGAATAAAAAAGTCTGTTTAATGAGATTGTCGATAATGATAAGCGTGAGATGATAAGTGTTAATTAAATTAAATAATGTTACCTGGGAAATAATCAAGGTGTGGACCAGAAATACCAATGCTGATTACTGTGGATGGGGATCAGTGCTGCTATTGGTTGGCGGGCTTGTGGCAGGTGTAATCAATATGTGGTATATGGGCAGTGGTGTGGGATCTTGTGCTGATTGGATAGCCACTTTATGTTATTGGTATTCATCCTCTTATTGGTGTATAGGTCAGGCCTGACTTTCCATACATATATATTTGTCAAAATGACTCTTTCCCTAGTGTTAGTTTATCTGCCATCTTTTTTGTGGTTCCCTCATCTGAAGAAAAAATATTAATATTAATTTTATGGTACGCGACCTACAGTATATTAGACACCCAGTACAGCGTTGCGTGTTTGGTTTTTTAGTTCGTCTCTGTTTATTGTGTTGAGGATAAATCAAATTTTAGTAGTCCGCTGTCAGTGTTATTTTATATTTTGATGTGTAGCTTTTTTAGGGGGGGGGGGATTACCTATGTTTTATCATAATCTATGTTTGCTGTCAGTGGCGGCTCGTGAAAAATAAAATGGAGGGACTGCAAGCCTCACACAACAGTAGGATACACAAATTTGACCTACCTCAGGTATGAGTTGTAGTTGATGTCCACGAATTCCCAGGGCATGGTAGTAGTGTTGGTGGTGATGGACCAGTATTAATTGAAAATAAAGTCCGCGCGTCTGCTCTTCGATGTAGCAAAATTGTTTATTACTATTTCATTAAAATCCTTTATTTCTGTTATCATTTTATTTTCAATGGATATCACTGCTAAAGCAGACAGTCTGTCATTCACCATGGTACTGCGCAAAAAAGTTTTAATTCTCTTCAAAGTTGAAAAGCACCTTTCTGCTTCTGCCGTTGTCATTGGAGTTGTTATTAAAATTTTCAGCAACTTGACAGTGTCTGAAAATGTTGACTGTAGATTATTGTCATTCATCATCTCCAACAAGTCTATGAGACTTTCTGATTTACACAAAGCACGATTTAACCACACCGTCCACACGTTGTACGAGACTGAGCTGCTTCAAGTGCGGCGGCGGCGCCAATTAATAACAGACATGAATCGTACAGCATTGACAGCAACTATGAAAGTAACTTAAATTTTGGTCTGATTTTAATGAAAATTCACTTAGCAACGTATTGAAAATAATTAAATAACATATAAAATGATATATTTGTTGGTAGTGTATTATTCAGCTGTCTCTCTAAAGGAATCATACGCCTGGCAGTGAGTGTCTGGAGGGACTGCAGCTCTGCAGCCCTATGCATATATGTAAACACACACACACACACACATATACATACATATACGTATATACATACACATATACATGTACACGTACATATACATCATATACATGCACACACGCACACATACATACATATACGTCGGTCAGATTCATGTGGGTAATGTCACTTTTCACTGCCACACAGGACAGAGGTTCGTACACAAAGAAGGAAATACATCATATTCATTAGCAGCATATATAGGTCAGTGGATCACATACATTGGAGTCATATTCTAATTGAAGACTAATCAGTGTGGGCTAGCAAATTCCCGAACAGCTAGTAAGCTGATAAGTGGTGAGATAAATAAATAAATAAATAAAAAAGAAAGACGTTTCAGTGTCCGATATCGAATCCGACTTCATGTTAGAAAAGATTACGAACGCAATTCTCCAACAAAAGTTTGTATTCCTTAATTATTTTTCCTAGCATAAATGTCAACCACAGCCTAATCAAACCAAAAAATGCTTATTTTTTAATGTAACTGATTGCTTTGCGCCACCTGAAGCATTAAATGCTTTAGCATTTGATATCGGGTTTATATTCTAACATAACTATTTGTATACATTTTTACTTAATAAATATTTTTCTTTGTGTTGTAATTTGCGAATTATTTTTTTATTTTAATATTCTCGTAAATTTAATAAATTTGATAAAGTGGCTCAAGGTGACATTTATTGTATATTTTATATAGTGCCGAGGAATGAACCACTTACCAAGTTGTTGATGTAAACAGCTGAGAGCCATGGCTGACGTGGATAACACTAAGCTGGAGGTAGTAGCAGTCTCTTTCATTAATTTAAGCTTTATTTATTTGTTGATAAGTTGTTTTAAGTTGCTTTTGAGTCCTTTAAGCTTAAAACACACACGATAATTGTTCTGTTCTTGGTTATTTCTTACAATAACTCGACATTATCACTCCAAGTTGTGGCTGCTATGCCCAAGTTAACACAACAGGTTAGAGTAGAACTGTGGACAGGTATGTTGTCAACACCAATGTATAATGAATTCGAGTTTGGTTTTGTAGATATGATTGAAATATCTGCTCAAAAATATTTATATAGCAGTGTCTAGAAAGTTTTGTAGTACGTGGCAGAAGTGGAATTATCTGCAACAGTTTAGGTAATATTGTGGAGCACTGGTACGTGATGACCAGCCAGCAACTTTAGGATAAAATTTAGTAAATATTTGGTATGGTTAATATTTAGAAGTTGCCAACATCTACTTATATAGTCTTACAGAGGAAGAAAAAACATGAATATATTCGTTCATTGGCTGTTCTCAGGTGTTGGTACGAGAATAGGTTTTTTTGGGTGTGTTTTACTCAAACATGACCCTCATTTCTTGTGCTAAGTTTTTTTTTTAATTATTATTTTCATTTTTGACAGAAACGCTAATTTTTACAAAAATGGAGGTCAGATTTGAGTAAAAAAACAAAAATATTTTTATACCAAAATAGGGGATTATTTTACTTTAGGAAATAGTGCACCCCAAAGTAGTAAACTACTGAAACATTTAGATCTCCCCATTCTGAGCATTTTGAACCCCATTTATACAAGTTGGAAATGGAAAATAGCGACAATTTAATTAAATTTATTTTAAGTACTTTTCAGTCTTCGTCTGTGAAGAGATGTTATCTGCGTGAAACCGAGTTAATTATGCATCACGCAATAATGACTGACGTCATCCAGTCATTACCAATGATGTATCGATATCACACGATGTTTTTTTTTTCAACCAATCACATTTGAATTTTTTCAAAGGAAGCAGCCTGGGTATGGAATTGAATTTCAATGACCAGTGTAACAATGGCCGTTGTGAAAGATTGGTTGTGAATACTGCTTCTACGATTATTTTAAGTTTATTGTCAAGTTTTACGAGAAAGACGATCATGCTATCCAATTCCTACGTAATCTCGGTGTTCTCCCTATGTTTGTTGAGTGCCCCCACTGTAAATTCCGATGAGGAGGAGGTCGATGACCCTGAACCTATCCCTGGTTCTTCCACTTCTAACTAAGGTATTGTTCTTTTGGACATGGTGCACCCCAAAGTTTTAAACTACTGAAACATTTACATCTCCTTATTCTGTGTCTTTTGAATGCCATTTATACTAGTTGGAAATGAATAGGATAGGTTAGGTTAGTTTAAGCGAGGCCTATCAGGGGTCCGGGGGCAGAGCCCTGTGCTAAGGGTTAGGTTAGGTTAGATGACTCGTTTTCGTGTTCTCCCCCGCCCAAAATCCCGATTTCCCAGGCTTTCTCCCATTATTGTTGGAGGTCAGGGTGGGGCAAAACGAGCAATTTCCGACGAAATTGACGGTCAAATTCGCTTAAAACACACCAAAATACACTGGAAAAACATATTGGTCAACCCCTAGGGACTCGTGTCCTAAAGTAAAAATTTACCCAAAATAGACAACTCTTTAAGTAAGGAGTATAGCCTCTGGTAAACATGGTGGGAACCTGCAAATAGCCAATGGACAGTACTATATTATGTAAGACTCATCTCTCAATCTACAAGTCCTATATCATAATTCCTGTACTGAGATGGTAATGACCAACTTTTATTCTAATACATGAAGTGCTAAAGTTGCAGTTAATGAGTGCAGGGAAGTTAAACTATTATCGAGTACTCTTTTGTGTTGCCTTGACTAATTTTTACTTTATAGATTAAATGTAAATTTCTTGAACCAGAAATTTTTTTATACACTTCTGCTCAAGTCCCAAGGTTGCTGGATTGGTTTCAAGTTTGATTCAGCTGTTTGGTTAAAGGTTATTCTTATTCAATGATCAGTGGTCATATTTAATGATCATGTTTGTAGTTTTTGAGTTTTACCTGAATTTATTTATAATGGTGCATAATCATTTGTTTCTCTTCCAGATACCAGATTTTGTCGACCCTGGTGGATATGGAGATGTGTCGGGGGAGATGGCTGTTCCTGGCACTGTGGGGAAGACTCAGGCCAAGGAATACAACACACTTGATGAACCTGTTAGAGAAACTATTGTAAGTTTTGTTTAAAGAACTTCTCTTGCTCTTATTATTTTGTATTATAACATAGCTTATGAATTTTGTTGTGTCCACACTATTCCATGTGACTTTTATGTGTAAGTTGTGAAAGTATGATATGAGTTTTAACTGTACAGTAATCTCCCTATTAGCTGGAATAATTGGTGCATAATGGTTCTGAGATTGAGAGAGTTCCAGGTCTGGAAACGAATTTTCTCATCCCCAGAATTTTTGTGGGTACAGTACACTGTACTGGGGGAAGTTTTCCGAGAGTCTAAACTACGCGTCTCACATGGAGCCACTTAACTGCACTCAGATAGGCACAGAGCTGTATTTAGTTACCGGTATGCAAACACCACTGTACACATACTACAGTATGTATACGTATACAGTATTATAAATAAACAAAATACAGTATATTACTGTACTGTGCTCACCAGTACAGTACTAAATTCAAGACTGTCATTATTACACAAAGTACAAATGACCAAATTACACGTGTCAGTATTAAAAGCCAAACTTACAACTAAAAGTCAAAGGTCAAATTTGTTAATGTGAGTACAATATAATGTTTATGATTTACTGCTTTGATGTGGAAAGGAAGCTGGTGTCTATTTAATCCCCCATTATCTCCAATGAGTTTGCACTTCATCAATCATGAAATGACTGGTAGCATCTACATGAGGTCACCAGAGTACCCAGAGAAAACATGTTATATTGAGTAGGGTTACACTAAAGAATTCCCATCCAACCTTAGATGCAATGGTGAGAAGCAAGCACACTATTGCTTTACTTTTTTTCTTATAAGTAACATTTGTAGCGTCTACATTTTATTTGGTAAATGATTCATTCGGTTTGATTTAGGAAGTTAAAAAATTAATTTTTGAATGGATTGGAACTCTTGAAATTTTCATGTTTTCTGGTGCTGTCATGTTTAGTGTAGTAATAAGTATTTTATTTTATTTTTTTAATTTTCAGATGCGAGACTTGAGAGCTGTAGGCACAAAATTCTACCATGTTTTGTATCCCAGGGAGAAAAAGGCTCTCCTAAAGGATTGTATGTATATATAAAACTTAATTTTAAAGTAATATACTGTACAGTACAGTAATGTGTAATATGGAGATGTCTTATAAGTTAACGAACTTTGATTGTGTATACTACTGTACCGTATACTGTACAGATATGCCCTGGATAGCAACCTTGTTTATTGGTGCCTTTGGACCACATTAGCCAGTTTGGAATCATCTTCACATTCAGACTTTACAGACAGAATTTTTCATTCTTAAAAGTTTTATATTTTATTTAGATCTAAATTCCTAGAACTTCGAGCCTTGCTGAGGTATCATGAATACACTGATTTTAATTTTCCTCATAGCTTAATATGTTATGAGAAATGTGTACCTAAACATGTGCTTATATCCCATTAGTTATGCAGATGAAATATAATTTTACACATTGTCTTTATGAGTTTTTTGTGTGTGTGAGTTAATGAGTGTTAAGTATACTGTATATATAGTATAGATAAAGAGAGTAAAGTGAAATTCTTTCTGTCATTCACATCCTTCAAGAAGACAGAGGAAAGGGGGCAGAATTTCCTTCCCATTCAGTTTTTAGTTTTGTATCAATACTTCCAAACAACCAATTCTGTATGTTTATCTTTTTTTATTTTGATTCCATGGATTCAGAAGACTGTTACCCAGATTGCGTTTGTACATCACCATGCTCCAACAATTCCTTGCTGTAATGAGATAATTAATGAATCCATTGTGCAGAAAATATACAGAATTTCTAATAAAGTAACAAAACATCATACAGGCTATATATTATATTTGTTAAGGGTTGCTGGATATACAAAAACCAGGAATTGCATCACTTGTGCCAGCTTTGTTATTTATTACAGACCCTTATTTATATCCATTTTCATTGTATGAACTGTAGGAACTATTGACATTATAACATCACTATGTATTTAATTTTTTCCAGGGGACTTGTGGGGACCACTTATCTTGTGTACATTCATTGCTATGTAAGTACAGTAAATTACTTGTGAGGAAATATTGTTGTCTTTCATAGCTATATAATTAATGTTATGTTTAACACTCCCAATATGCCATGATATACCTGTACTAAAAAAAGATTATGTAAACTATTCATTCATCTGTTATAGTTAGTAACTAAAACAAGTCTGATATGACATCAAATTAGAGAATTTCTTTATATCCTAGTACTGTATCTACTTAGTATAATGATGTGCATCCACAATCTACTTCCATATTTATGCTTGTTACCATGACCGGTAGACTAAGGGTTATAATAGGCAAGCTACTATATGTGTGTGTGTTTGTGGATACAGTATTTTTTCATCAGTTTGCACAGTAGTTACTGAAAGTATAAGTATGAAACTTGTTCTCTGGTCAATAGTTTGTAAACTCTTGCCTCTCCAGATTTAGGATATACAGTACAGTATTGTGTGCCACTCAGGAGTTATTACCAGGGGTGTTAAAACCACAGAATTCCATAAGTTAAACCTGTAGGGTCATCTTCAGTAATTTTCAAGGTAGAGGCTTACAATGTATAGTCTACACACATACATTATTTTATTTAGCACTTTATCTAGGACAGAGAGAGCACTTCATTTTAAAATATTTCTTTTATCCAGATGGACTTAATGTTTGCTAGAAATTTATATAAACAGGGCACGAAGGTATTTTTCTGGCCAAGTGGTAAAAGTTATACTGTACCGAGTAAAAAGTGATATCTCCGTTAGCCGGTACAATTGATGCAGAGCACTTCCGGGAATGAGATGACTCTCAAAGCCAGAAAGAATCCCTCATCCCCAGAATTTTCCAGGCAAAAGAAAAATGTTCTCGAAAGTTCCAGAAATTGCCCATTACACCATCTCTCGAACCCAGAATAATATCCCCCATCCCGGAATTTTCCAGGTATCGGGAAAATTTTCTCGGAATTAGATGGAAAATGTGCCCCTCAGAAAATCATTCTGAAAGCCGTAATTTTCTGGAAATTTCCGGCTTTGGGAATGATTTTCCGAGGAAATTTAATTTCAATTTCGGCTATCGGAAAGTTCTGGGTTTGAGGGATTCCGGCTAACAGAGATATTACTGTACAGTATATAGAATATTTCAAGGGTGGATCACATATAGTGGAGATTCAAATGGAAAGCAAAGGTAACTTCATACAGTACTCACATACTTTATAGCTTTATGATTCAAAGTACTGGATCGTGTAGTGAGAGTTCTATTTTGGCACATATTATTTCATCTCCCTAGGATGGTCCAAGGATCTGAAGGTGCAAATGAACCTGATGGTGGACCAGAGTTTGCCCAAGTATTTGTTATTGTTTGGGTGGGTGCTGCAATTGTCACCATGAATACCAAATTACTTGGTGGAACCATGTAAGTCTCACATGTCATTATGTTATAATCATAAAGTAGGCAGGTAGTCTTTGATTACCTAAGGGAGTAGCAACCTTGTCAGCTAAGCAGGCACTTGAAAGTCCTGCATACAAGGACTAGTTCCCACTGTAAAAGTAGGTTGGCAATAAGAAGAGCATCCAGCTGTAAAACTGGCTCCAAATTTACTTGATGGCAACTGGGACACCATGCTGTAAGCTGATGATGGCTCAAGGGCAGATCCAATACTTTTCTTTAATGTAGTATTGTACTTAGGCATTTTTGTATAGGTAGTAAAAAATATTTACTATTGACTTCAGAATATCTCTTAATATCAAGTGTGCATGGCTTCAAAATGCCCATGATATTGGTCAGATTTAAAAAAATCTGTAAGCCCCCCCAAATGGGTGGGCACGCTGTACTCGGCATGTTTCCTCACTCATGATGATAAGGAGGAGAAACAGTAAGCTATTAAAGATGTTGAAATATTAGTACTGTACTTTTTTATGTGCTTTATAGAAACATACAGAAAAGGTTTACTCATGTATAGGATATTAAAGAATCTTATGAATCAACTGTATGGAGAGAAGTGGATAATCCTGATTTTACATATGCCCCAGTAAAGAGAGAGACAAATCAAGGAAAGGTAGCAATGAAATTGCAGTTGCTTGATATTATATAAACTGCTGTTAGTTTCTGCAGTAATTCATGTTACTGATTATTGGACAAAAAATTATGTGGAGTATCATAATATGGTTTTCATATTGGTTAGTTCTGCTGTCAATATAGTCTACTGTAAAATCTCTGCATAGTTTTCAGTCTCAGATACCATTAAAATTATGTAATTTAAATGTTTTCTTCAGTATTATTTTTTTTCCAGATCATTTTTCCAATCAGTGTGTGTGTTGGGGTATTGCTTGATGCCGTCTTGCCTCTCGCTCATCCTGTGCCGTCTCATACTCTTCGCCCCAAACAACAATATCCTCTTTGCTCTCAGGTTTATTGTTACTTGCATTGGATTTATGTGGGCCACTTTTGGTAAGTGCAGTATATAATGTATACATATACAAGTAAACATCGATAAACGATGGGGTTAGGTTCCTGAAAAATCTATTGCTAAGTGAAATATCATTGATAGGGAGCATTATAACATGGGGTTCAATGGGATACATTCCCAGCCAGTCCTCAAACACACATGTACTGTATTACCAACAAAAAATTCCTACACTTATGAAATCAATAGAAAACAATTAACCAACACTCACCACATCATGAAGAATAAGTCTGGTCATCATCACATGTCCCCTTCATGGCTAAGGGGACTCTTGTAGGTGGAGTGGAGATGTTACTCTGACTCCTACACAGCCTCTGGGGAGTCTCATGCCACTTCACAATGTCAAGCTTCACCTCATGGTTACAAAAACAGAGCAAAAGCAATTGACACAAAAACAGTGAATGATGATAACGTAAAAACAATGTTAGCGGCCCACACTGCTCACATGATTTTCACAACAACAGAGGTGAAGAGCTTAACAGCCACAAAAACACAGAAAATATCACTTCACAGTCAACATAACACATTTCAATCTAAGTGCTAGTGCTGTCCTCTCACTATAAGAAAAAAAAAACACAAAAAGACACCGATGATCAGTACATTGTACATACAGTAAACCCTTGCTATTTGCGGGGGTTAGGTTCCAAGGAATGGAGCGAATTGGCAAACCATAAATAACAACTTGTACTACCTTAGTGCACTACTGTATACCTACAGTATATTGTGTATGAGAAACTCAAGTCACCAATACTACTCTCCTTTGTATGTGGAAGTTTGGGCTTGATAAAGTGTACTGTACAGTAGGATGAAATCTAATTACTGAAGTATAGGGAAATCTTCAGGATCACTGTTGGAAAAAGGTGATGCAGTGGTGGTTGGTGGAGAGGTAGGTGGTGGGGTAGTGCGTGGCGGGGTGGTGAAGCGGCGGCAGCAGCTGACCAAGTAGGTGAGGTAGACGAATCAGCTGGGCAAGCAGCTGGTTCTTTCTTGAAAAACATCATGATTGGTAGTTGCTTGTTCTTGTCTTTGAGGTCTCTAGATGTTTCATTCCACTTGCATCACTAGCACTATGCAGTCTTTTAGGAGTCATTTCACACAGAAACGCTAAAGTTTTGAGTACAACACAAGAGATGCTGTGTCGCAGGCAATGGTTGAGGTCAAACAAAAGAAGAGGAGACGCTGTGGGTGCTTGGGCATGACTCGTTGCACTGCGGGAGAAGCTTGTAAGCGAGCCACCATCTGCTTACTGTGAATAGCCGAAATCGCGAATCACAAACCGGCGAATAGCAAGGGTTTACTGTACAGCCAACGATGCTGAACAATAATTGTGGAGCTACATGATGGGGAGATGCTATTGACAAAGTACCAAGGGCAGGACTGTAGTGTGTGGGTTGATTCATGACCACTTCGTTAATGCGGAATGTCATTGAACGAGACATCGTCTATCTAGGTTTACTTGTACATAATTATGAGTTAAGAAAAAAACAGAAATTTAGGATTTATTACATTCTTAATTTGTCCAGTTTTGTTGAAGTGTGCTTGTTTGGGAAGCATTCAGAAAATATCATGTTAGTTATGAATCTTAATCTCTTTATCCTGTATACTTTTCCTGCCATACAATAAGAGCATCTCCAAACACAGTAGTTTTTGCAAAGCTTGAACTGCATTATGCTCTTATCCGTTTTATTAAATTCCCTTAGTGAGGTTGATGTTCTGTTGTCCCATAAAAAAAATATATATATTAACCTTGAAAGGTTTATATGAAAAACCTGATTACCCAACTTAGGTCAGGCCTCATTTATGTACAGTAGTCCATCATGAATACTTTTGGATGTATTGATTAATGATTTGAGTTTACAGTAGTTGAAATTTGAGTAGATTGTGTAATTTTATGGCCCTTTACATAATGTTACCCAATACAGTACAATTCAATTTGACTATATTTTAAATTCCATTTTATTTGCATTTACTAGTTAGAATTGAGCTTTATATTTATTAGGACTCCTTAATTTTCAATTTGAAGAGAAAAATATTTTTGATAAAACTTTTTTTTCCCAACATGTTGAGTTAGTATCTGAGTTTTAAAACTAAATGTTCGAGTAAATGGTGTTTATAACTACCATATAGTGTGTTAAAGAATTTAAAGCAAATTGTCCGATTAATATAATACGATGTACTTTAAATTTAATTCACATTGAAATATTACACGGCCATTAGCAGAGGCGGGAAATATGACTGCGAACAACTTCATATTTTTCCCGCCTTTGCTAATGGCCTTGTAATATTTCAATGTGATTCTGATCTTTTAAAATGTTGGTTTTTGCATAATGTAGTATTACTGATACGTAATTTGTCTTAGTATCCCTTATTGTGGGTAAACATAAGTACAGGTTTCCAGTAAATTAAATGCATCCTCCGAAAGCCTGAATTTGCTACCAGTGTTTAACAGTTAATTCACGTATAATACTTCTGATAAACTTCCTATGTGCTTATGTTTGAAATTATTAATGTGAGTGTCTTTATATACAGTAATTTAGCTAAATATCTTTCTCGTCAAAAACGGTCATCCCAACCATTATGAATAAACTCATTTAAAATACATCATCATTTCGGGATGAAATCAGACAGGTTTGCAACAGCCAATCAGCTGTAACTATTGAAAAATGGTCGGGGCATCTTTTCTCAGCTGGGAAAAAATGCTGTCAAGCATCTTCGGCCCTGGCAATTTAGCCACAGTATCCCTGTCATCTTGGTGGGCCTGTCCAGTAGATATATGTGAGATATTTATGATATTTTTAGACATGAGCTCAATTCAAGGTTCATCCTTAAAATTTAATAAGTATGTTATAATGTATACACTATAATGGTTCCAGTTAAAAAGATTATAATTTCTGTGCACTTCATCTTTTCAGCTGCCATGATATTCCTTGGAGATAGTCAGCCAAGCACAAGAAAAGCCTTAGCAGTCTACCCAATATTCCTCTTCTACTTTGTTATAGCCTGGCTTATCATCTCACATTCCAATGCATGATGATATTCCACCAACACACATTGGAGTTACATTAGGGTTTAGTGACAGTTATAAGGGGAGAGCTATATTTTCTCTCTTTGGGAATGTAGGTACATATACAATGAACAGCCTTGAGTACTATCATGTGTAAAGCATGAGGCCAATAACTTGTAAGTATGACTCTTCTAACTATACATTTTAAGACAGCCTCATATTTTTATTCTTTAATTATGCTGATTGTTGACAGTGTCTCTAGTGTTGTTATTTATAATGTAGTTTTGTGTCCAGAGTTAAAAGCTTACATACTTTATGCACTGTGTGCATTTGGCTGCACAAAGGTCATTTGAATAAATAAGTTGAGGTGATCTTTAAGTTTGTCTTCATATCACATGGTTTCCAACTCTTAATGTTTACCAGTAAGTAAAATTTTGCTTATACAGTATTTTCTCGATTTCACGAACTAATTCAAGCCACCCCTTTCCGTTGAATCAAAATTTCCACTAAATCGAATTTTAGTTATTTTCGCTCGATTTAGCGAACTAGTTCGCTAAATCGAGAGTGATTCCGTGCCAAATGCACCGTTTGGCGCATGGGATTTGTTTACATCCACTCAGTCTGTGTCCTGCTGCCACCACATGTATTGTTCACTGCTACCTCTCGGTCTACATCTCGGTCAACTAACTACTGTACTTAGACATCATGCTGAAAGACTCTCAGAAGTCTCAGAAAAAAGTTGTGTGGGGGAGAAAGTCAAGAGTGCACCCATCAATTGGAAAAAAGTGTGAGCGTATTAACGTAATTAATGTCGATTTAGCGAATTAGTTCACTAAATCGAGTGAAATATGTGTAAAAAATTCCTTCCGCTAAATTGAGTTTGTTATATCGGATTCCGTTAAATCGAGAGTATACTGTACAGTATAATATCCAATGGTTTCAGTGTTCAGCATTGTTTAGTGTGTACTTGATAGTATTACATTTATAATTCATGCAAAAAAAATCCAATTTCATTCTTTAGTACATACTGTGTATGATATTACCCTAACAGTCCACGCGAGAAAAATCTGTGTTCATATAGGTAACTAAATCCAGTTGTGACTGTCAATGTGGGACTATCCATACTCATCTTTGTGATATTGTAAAATGATTTCCTTCATCTCAGCAGTGAGAATAGTAAAGAAAACCAGATACAGTAAGAATATGGCCAACATTACATTTCTGCAGTGGCCATTAAAATTAGGCAATTCAAAGTATTAATGCAACAATGAATGTAATGTTTCAAAATACGCTTGGTGTTTATACTGTGCTAATGAAATTAAATGCGTTAACCCATGCTTTGAATTGAACAGGTTCCCATATTTTTGCATAGATACACCTGTGTCAAAGTTTCAGACTGACTCAAATCTTGCCTAAGTGACTGTCATCCCATTTTGAGAGAAGCAATAATATTTGTGTACATTAGCTAAGAAAACAATGCCTCAGTGAGATGGGAACATGTTTAGTATCCTGTTTTTTCTTCTTAATCTTGTAAATGTCTTATATTTATATTCCCAGCAGGATAGTACTGTACAGTATATGGAAAACTCCCTCTGAAAAAGAAAAGATGAAGGATGACCATCAACATGTTCAGAAGTATCAAAGAGTGAACAATATTTCTTGAAACTTGATAAAAAATGGTGCTTATATGATTCATGTAAGTTTAGAAGTTGCCAAATGTGGACCAAAAAAAATTATCATTGAAAAATCAGCAAGTTGCTCTCATAATTGTGCTTGTGTACTTAAGGGAGATAGTATTTAGAAATAAGACTAAGATAGAACATCCATCATGAAGGAATGTCTGTCTTTAGAATCAATAGCAATATCACAAAGTATTACCGTGAAAAGTCAAAAGGAAATGCTAAGAGAAAGGACAATATTGCCCATAAGATTATTACCACTGTTTTCCTGCATGCACTATCAAATGTTTTATATAGGTTGAAGAAAGATTAAAGACTGAAACTTTTGATGTTTTCAGGATTTAATTTTTGGGGTTCATGAATTAACCTGATTGTAGCTATAGATATTGTACTATATTACTTTTAAAGTGAATTGCGGTGATTTGCTACTTGTATCGCATTCTGACCATACACTTACATACAGTACAGTATATACAGGTATATATATTTTATATGAAAGAGAAATAAGTGTGATTATTAATGATTGCCACTTTACTTGTCATTGAACATGAATAGTTTAAAAACCACTGTGTGTGTTTAATACCTGCTTTTTATTATTCATGTGCTCGGTTGTTTCCTAGATATCATTTCCCCTCCATTTCTAGTCTTCCTTCACCTCATCCTTCCATCTCCTTGGTTATTCTCTGCCTCTTCCTCTTTTTATCAGTCTTTTATTTCTCTTCTTGCAATATATCCAAACCACCTGGGTCAATTTTATCCAATGTTTCTTTCATTTCCTGCACTCTATTCACCACATATATTACTCTCAAGCACACCATTTCTGCTGCTTTTGACTTGCTTCCAACTAATTTGTGAATTAAGCATACCATCCTGTTTTATGTAATTAGACACTTGAAATAGCTTTTGAATAATTTATCAGAAACATACCAACTTCTCAGAGCCTGGAAAATGTAGTACCTGCTTCCCCCTCTTAACACAAGGAAAACTAAATATCAACTACAAAAGTGGAGGATGTGTAAATATATTAGGTAAAAAAAAATTAAGTCCTAAAGTGATAATAAATTAATATACGAGGTCTGTCCGGAAAGTTTCCAGCCATTTACTATTAAAAAAAATATTGCTTACCTAGGACAATGGCGCCTTAGTCCCCTTCAAAGTACTCCCCTTGGGACCTCACACACTTCTCCCAGTGTCCCTTCCACTTTTCAAAACAGTCTGCAAAGTCCTCTTTTGGGATCTTCATCAGCTGCCTCGTCTCATTCTCCTTAATCTCGTCCACGGTCTGAAATCTCCCTTTCAACGGCGATTTTAGCTTTTGAGAAAAGCCAGAAGTCGCAGGGAGCCAAATCTGGGCTATAGGGGGGCTGAGAGACCTGGGTGATGCGATGTTTTGCCAAAAAACCCTGCACGAGACGTGAAGAATGGGCAGGCGTGTTGTCATGATGAAGCTGCCAGACACCACTTGCCCACAGCTGCGGTCGTTTTCTTCTTACCTCATCCCTCAGCCGGCGAAGAACTTCGATGTAGTACTCCTTCGTTATTGTAAATGCGACTGTCACACAGTACCCACGCTCACTCAACGGCGTCTGCCGGTCAACTGAGTTGTCCCTCAGAAGTGTGGCTGTTCATGCATGCACAGTACGGTCCTCTCTGAGTGGCTGCTAAGTTACATCAGGCCGTGTGACCAGTTCTCACAATATTCACAATGGCTGGATACTTTCCGGACAGACCTCGTACTGTAAAACTTAAAAAGATAATATCAGTCTTTGAATTTATTCAGTTTGATCTTTTTCAGATACAATGAGTCTTCTTTGCACTGTCTTTTTTATGTAGTTACCCACGTAACAGTTTCACTAGTGAGAACCATGATATACAGTACAGGCATCCCTGATTTACAATATTCCACTTTAACGATGGTGATGTATTAAGACCATCCCCCTGTTTACAATATAAACATGATCCGCACGCCGCCAGGTGGCCACTCATTGCGCTACAGTACCAAACTATGTTCTATGGTGGTCGCACATGTAACTCAACAATTATTGGTCAATATCAATGTTGTTACTTTTACCATACAGTGGGAGGACATCACTAATGTTCGCATCTTACTGTTTTGGTGATTGTGAAATTATTTTTGCTATGTTTTTTGTGACTGTAAAGTGCTTTGTCTCTGTTGTGAAGTGGCATTAAGGCGCCCCAGAGACTGTGTGGGAGTCGGAGTGACCTTCACATGTTATGACAACCAGGCTTGTTCGTAATGATGTAGCGAGTGTTGTTTAATTGTTTTATGCATATTAGTATAGGAATTTTTTTCAGTGATATATGTGGGTGTTGGACTGACTGGGAACGTATCCCATTGAAGCCCACGTTATATTGATCCTGATTTACGATATTTTGACTTGCAATGGGCTTTTTCGGAACCCAACTCCACCATAAATTGGGGATACCTGTAATCAACTTAATCCATAGAATTCTCCAATAGCCAGAATTGAAATTGGCCCAGAATTTTCCAGAAAAATATCCTCAAATCTGGGTCTGCGAACGAGTTTCCAAGGTTGAAAATCAGCCACATTTGATGAGAAAAGTCCGGAAAATTACTACCTACAATTTAATTTTTTTTTCAGGGTCTGGAAACAAATTCTGATGGATGAAATAATGTGCAATTTCTGGAAAAATTCTTAGAAAATGTCTCCAAACTTTTCTGCTCCGGTCCTGGGGACAATGATTGTTTCATGCTCTGCCACGTCCTCACGTGCTTGGTGGGAAGACTGCTTGGGTAACTTGGCCCGTAGGCTTGAGTGCTGCGATTGGTTAATGATTTCATGTGACCGCATAGGATGCCTGTGATAGTGATGCATCTCCTAGGAAGTGTGAAAGTACCATATGTACAGGCTTTTCTCTTTATTCACCATTCTTCAGGTCATGAGAGCCACTAATCCCCCTCCCCGGCAATGGGTAACCTGACAAAGCACGGAGTTGACTTGAGGGTAGACTCACATATTTGTCTAAATTTTGTCTTGTTTCTGATTATTTGTGAGAGAATTTTCCCATTATTATTTATTTGAAAGTGTTTTGTGTGTATCTACACACACACACACATATACATTCCACAGGTAAAAGAAATTACTGTCTCCAGAAGAATGGCTCCCTGCCCTGGCTGTGAAAATGCCACCAACTTTAAAACTACCCTTAGACATTCTTGGATACATCCAGGGTGTCATCCGCGAATAATCAAGGTCCGCGAATTGTCAGGGCATGCTGTATTGTACTTGTACAGTGGTATTTCTATAAATGAATACAGCTGTGTCTGTCCGTGCAAGATACGTAATTTACACTCGGAAAACCTTCCTCGGTGCAGGGTGGAACATTCCACTGTCTTGGATGTGACACACAACTCCATTAATGCATCACATGCCTTTATTATATAGATTTTTTTACTTATATTTTAAACAACGGACAAGAAATGGTGTTTCTAACTTAATTAGAACTGATTTTATTAACTTCGGTACAGTATCAACATTTCTTACATTTTTTCATAAAAGAATGGATTCCCATCACTATATTGTGTCAAAATATTTTGCTGAAACATTCTTGTAGAGAATTTATTCAGAATCATTATGGCACCAAATTCATCTCTAACACTAGAACAGACGTGAAAAAAATAATTGGGCTTTCACTAGTCATAAATATTTTTGCTCGTGCCCTCAGTCCAAATGTAATGGGAGAGTGTTTGCCCATGCAAGATGAGATGTGCAGCTTGGGCTCGGAAAGTTTCCCAGAAACCTTCCGGGATGTGCGGGTAGTATCCATCCCTGTGAGAAGTAGTTTAGACTCTCAAAAAAATTTTCCATTACCGGTACTCTGAAAATTTCTGGGGATGTGGGATTTTTTCAGGTTTTAGAGTTGTCTCGCTACCTGGAAATTTCCCATCCCCAGAAGCGCTCTGCGTTAATTATTCCAGCTAATGGAGTTTACTGTTCACTATTTAAAATGAAATGCTTGTATCAGTGAAAATCTTGCCCTGACATACCCATTTAGTATCATTTCCTCAGTACCTATACATAGAAATATGTGTGTGTGTGAAGAATATATTGAACACATTATTTTGGTAACAATTATAACTAGTAATATAAACCAAAACATTTCATTTGTATATTTATGTTATTAAATATATATGTACATGTTTGTTTCCAATAAAAGTTTAAATCTAGTTCTTATCTATGTACTCCTGCCATTGAACAAATGTAAGTTTTTTTAAATGAACCTGAAGATTTTTTTGCTGCTAAAAAAAAATAAAAATAAATGTGTGGCAGACACTCGCATAGTACTAGTGAGAATATACTCAAAGATCTAAACAGCTTAAGCCATGATAGCGTAGCCACCCATTGATGGTTCAGGTTTACTGTTCCACTACATACATTATGTACAAAAACTAAATTTCCAAATGTGAAAGACCGGAAAGTTATGTTCCATCCTTTAATTAAACATATAATAAGATTGGACGTAAACATTTACGTCTTTTGAAAGAAAAGATATAGATCTGTAATACCCTGCATCCTTGAACACATATTATCATGGAATAAGTTTATCTTCAACAGTTGTGAAGAATGAGCAGAAATAGCTTTCTTCATTTTCCTCATCCTTGTCACCACCTTCTACAGTTTCTTCTTGTTCTGAAACAAGTTTATTAATTTATAAACAAATGTTTATCAACCAATTATTTATTATAAAAAACTCAATGTAGTACTGATAGGCTGATGTACTGATTGAAAACCAACCCCTTAGAAGGCAATGTAGCCCTTAGGTATTTTATTCAGCTGAGAGAAACTCCTGCCTCATAAAGGATTAATAATAATCATAAAACTTACAATACTAATACTGTAGCTTAAATATTTGTTCATTATGGTACCCAACAAGTACAGAAAACATACACAAAACATCAATAATAGGTTTTTGTTATGAAATCCCATTTTTTGGGCCAAACTGTGAGAGCATCCACTCAAGAGTATTATTGAGCAGAGCCTAGAATCACATGCCTGTGGCAGTTCCAACAGCCATATGGAACTGTTACACCCCACAACTTCATGCCTAGTGAAATCCAGACATAATGGGTGTCTCACAGACCAGTGAAGAATCTGGATATCAAGGAAAAATAAGGAATCATACCCTTCAAGGTAAAAAATAACCTAGTAATGTAATGTAATTTTTTTTTTATAAGGCTACAGAACATGCAACAATTGTTATATCCATTTTCAAATTTTATGACATTTCAGTCCACTTCAGATATAATGACTTGTTTCAATGAACTTAATTATTTTGCAAATTCATGTACAGTGGACCCTCGGTTAACGAGCACAATTCGTTCTAGAAGGTTGCTCGTTAACCGAAACCATTGTTTCAATGGGTTTTTGGGTAATTGGTTCCAGCTCACCGAAAATTGCCTAAAGTCAACAAAAAAGGTAGTAAAGTACACTTACTTTGAGGTGTGTATGTAGAAGGCTCCTGGATGATGATGATGATGGGAATTAGAATGGGGGAGGAGGAGAAGGGAGAAGACAAGGCATTGGGGTGGAAGAGAAGTCACCCCATGGCGCCATTTCACCCATAAAATTTTAGTTCATTTGGTGTAATTAAAGATTATTTTCTTTAAATCAACACTGCACTGCATTATATATTGTCAACATGTAAAATAAATTTCAAAATGACCAATAATTTGACTGGAAACACAGAAAAAAAGCATTTATGTTGAAGAATCTGAAGCAAGATGTTACCTCCACTGAAAAGACACAGAGACTGACGCCTGTATAGTGTGTTGACAGGCTGTTTGGCACACTAAAAACTAGTTTCCCTGTACTTAAATTATGTTAAATAATTGTTAAAATGACTAAAAAATTTAATATAGGACTTTTAAAATTATTGAATAGTACAAACTTCTTGATATTTACTAAAATAGTAAGGAATTAAAGCCCTAGAACCGATTACTGTATTGGCGGACTAATATGACAGCTAGTGTGCAAGCAAAAACACGTGGAGGGGCGCTCGTAAGGAATTCGTTGATTGAGGCAATGCTCATTAACCGAAGTTAAGAATCTTATGGAAGGTAATTCGTTAATCGAAATTTCGTTAACCGAGGCGCTCGTTAACCGAGGGATCACTGTACATCCTTTACACTGTGCAACTCCATGGTGACAAGTGATATTTCAAGGTGGACCCATTTGTGAGGTGTGGAGCTACCAGAACAGCAGAGCAGGAGCATAGAAATTCTGAAAGGACAAGATGTGTCATAAGCCCTGGTACTTTTGGAGGTCAGAGCAGTAAAGGACAGAATGCCATTCGCAGTAAGAATGTGACTGGGTTGGACAGTGAATGGACCGGTTGGGAACCAAAACATAAATGGAATCTGCATGTGAGGATGCCTGATGGCTGAAACTACTGTGGATACTGAAACCCGGCTGGAAAGACAAGTCAAGCTTTTGTTTTGGGAGCTTGAAAATGGGGTGTGGAGCCCTTCATGTGCAACTTATGCCCTCTGGTACATATTTCGTGACCACAGATCAGAGTTTTCCAATAAGGTGGCACAAGCGGAAATAAATTTCTATGTGGACGACCTACTCCTGTTGCTGGACTCGCCAAATGAGGCATCACTGTTCGCGTGTCAGCTTAGAAGACTACTGACGCGCGGAGGATTTGGTTAACTAAGTGGGCCAGTAATCATAAAGGAATGTTGGCTACTATCCCACCAGAGGAGAGGCAAATTGGACCGAAGGAAATTGATCTGAGACAAGACAAGATGCCAATGGAGCGAGCCCTGGGGTTTAGGTAGCTCCTGGAAGGTGATCAGCTCACCATCAAGGTGCAAACGCATTCAAGGCCAGCGACCAGGATAGGATTGATAAGCCTTGTCAGTTCCAGTTATGATCCAATGGGGATTGTGGCCTCATTCATCATCAGGGCAAAAATATTATTCCTGGATGAATACAGATATTGGCTAGGAGAACTGGCCCACCTAGGAAAATTTAGTGTACCCAGATGCCTGAAAACAGCATGTGCTAAGGAAATTGTCTCAGCACAGTTGCACACATTCTGCAATGCATCACAGGCTGCCTACAGTGCGGTGACTTATTTGAGACTGGTACATTCTGACGGAAGTAGCCAGTGCTCTTTCATGTACGGAAGGGCCAAGCTGACCCCACTCATGTAACTAACAATAACAAGGCTGAAATTTGTACAGCTGTCCTAGCAGTGAACGCAGATCGAACGATTCGCCAAGAAATGACCATAACTATAGACGAATCTTACTTTTGGGTGGATAGCATGTTAGTCTTGCAGTACATCGCCAATTCGAGTAAACGATTTCTTACGTTTGTCAAGAATCGACCAGTGAAGACATGTTACCACATCACTAAATCCAGCAGATGACGCAACTAAGGGATCACCTGCTTTGAACCTGGTTGCAGGATCTCGGTGGATACAGAGGCCTGAGTTTCTAATGAAGGAAGAAGAACAGTGGCCAAAAGGAAAGGAATTGCCAGTAGCTCTGAACGACTTACTGGGATTGAAAGGAGAAACACACCAGAGATTTGTAGTGGCTCTGGCAGTGAGTGAGTGGTCAAAACGGTTCCTGGACAAACTGTGGTTCAGGTACTCATCATGGTACCGTTTGGTGAAAGGGGTGGCATGGATTAAAAGGTTCATTCGGTGGCTCGGAACAAGCATAAGGACTAAAGACCTGCGCCTCAAGCTGAAAAGGCTGAACACTGAGGAATTACAGTCAGCTGAAGAGACAATTATACGCTTAGTGCAGAAAGAAGTTTACGAGAAAGAAATCCAAACTGTCATAAAGGGTGAGCTGCCCAGGGACAGTAAGCTATATAAACTGGAACCATACTTGGAGGAGCGAATGTTGCTCAGGTCAGGAGGAAGAATTAAAGGAGCCCGCCTTGGGCGAAGTGGTGAGGAGCCAATCTTACTGCCTAGAGACCACCAAGCCACCGAAATCATAGTACGGGAAATGCACAAAGAGCAAGCCTGACATGCTGAACGAGAGTACACGATGGCATGTGTGAGGCAAAGGTATTGGATCCCTCAGGGCAGACGCTTACTTGATAGAATCATACAACGCTATGTAGTGTGCCGACGAAACAGCTGGAAAAGTATGCCAATAGATCAGGTCACACCTGGAAAGGCACCACCTGCTTACACTGGAACGGACTGTTTTTGGTCCCTTCATAATCAAGGTAGGGAGAAAACAAAGTCAAGCGTTGGGGATGTCTGTTTACATGCCTGACTATTTGGGCTGTTCACCTAGAGGTCCTGGCCTCATTAGAAGCAGATGCCTTCCTCAATGCTGTAACAAGGTTCTCATGACGCAAAGGTGCCCAGAGCGTATGAGGTCGGAAAACGAGACAAACGTAGTATGGGCCGCCAAAGGGCTCAAAATGGCTGTGAAAGACTGGGAGTAAGATGACAGACTCAAAGGTGCTTTACTGAAAGCAGATATTGATTGGGTCTTCAATCCATCCACTGCCCTGTATATAGGGTGGAGTATGGGAAAGACAGATTCGCACAGTACAAAGGGTCTTTCAAGCAATTGTGGGCTCACAAGTTTTAGACAATGAACGTTTACAAATACTGTTTTGTGAAGTGGAGGCCATAATTAATAAAAGGCGAATCATCCCAATGTCACACTCCAAATAAACCAAAGGCGCACACCTGCTGATCTTTTGCACCTAGGTAAAGGGTAGTCTCCCTTTCGGTGGACAGTCAATAGGTGAATCACATCACAAAAGGTGGAAGCATGTCCAATACCTTGCAGATCAATCTTTGAAGCGTTGGCTGAAGGAGTACCTTCCTTAACTCAGAACTCGACAAGGGCATTTCAGACCACGGTGCAACTTCCGCCCTGGTGTCCTAATCATTATAGCAGAAGCAAATAGTCCACGCAACCAATGGCACCTTGGCCGAGTGAGGAAAGTCAAGGTTTGCGAGGATGGGCTTGTACAACAAGCAGTGGTTACAACAGCAATGTCCACGATGCTGTGACCTGTAACTAAGTTATGCTTGTTGGAGGAAGCAATGAAAGGGGCTGACATGGTCAACCAAGAAAAGGACTTGAGTGCCCACACACGAAGACAGTGAGGTCCAAACGTTAAAGGACCGAGATGTCCTAAGGAAATGACCAGTACTACCGGCCTGAGGGCAGTGTAGTCACAAGAACGTGACAGTAATATAATTTATTCATTTGTTCTGAAAACTGTGTACAGTGTTTATTCATGTTTTTATTTAAAAAATATAGTTTTTCACTTGCTTCTGGGGATCAATTAATTCTTTATACAGTAAGATGTCAGATATCCGGAATGCATGGGGAATTGAGTGAGCCGGATAATCGTTTTTCCAGATGCTTGAGAGCTACTCTCATAAATACACATCTCAAACTCAAGAACGTCATCATAGTAAATATTATAAAAGGAATAAAAGGATACAGTAAATATATTATAAAAGGATAAAAGGACATGGTAAATATATTATAAAAGGGCTGTACAGTACTCACTCATTATGTAGCACTGCAATGGTGTGTGTAATCCTGTTGTACAGTAGCAGAAGCGGTTACTTGTTAAGCTTGACTAAATATAGTTACAGTACTCACTGAATTCACTACTCTTTTTTTGGGCTGTTAAGTTCCTTAAACACTAAAGTTCCTTAATATTACACTTAAAACTAGATTTTCTTCACTAAGGGAACTGGCGTGGGAGGTTGTCCTGGTCCTCCTCACACATGCTGGATGGCTGACGTGAAGATAGCGGTTACACTGGTACAAATATTCAAGTGAGCAGAACTGTAATGGCGGCGCCCAGCGTGTTTGGCCAACATGGAGGATGCACACGGCACCTCTTGTGGCCAGAAATGGAACCACGGGCGAAGTGGTGACAAATTCAAACCGATTTTCTTGATATTTGAAATGTGATTAGACATTACTTACTGGAAATTAACCCCAACAAAAATAATGCCGGTTGCTTGAGAGTTCTGGATATATGAGGTTATACTGTACCACTGTTTAAATGGAATTTATTGATTAGGTTTACAAACACATTTTCATAAACTGGGGGCTGCCTGTACTTCAGTATGTCACATACACCAAAGTAAAAAAATATCTGCAAAATTCTCAGAAGCACTCTTGCCCAGCATTTAGTAAAAAAAATCTTGACCTCTGACCCTGCGAGTTAAAAAAACAAACGAAATTTAACCCCTTGTGTATGGGGGTTTCTCTCTGCTGAGTAAAATCTTTTGGCATTAGCCAAATAAAATATTAAAAGTGGCCTCCCCGTAGTGAAGAGGTTAATGGTACTGATGATCCATATAAAGTCTTCAAATGACCTATCCAAAATTGTACATGTACTGTACTGTACTAGTACAATGATGATAATAATGATGATGATACAGTTGTTGTACTAGCAGGTTAAAATCAACAAGCAGATACACAGTTATAAGTAACAATACACCTCTCATCATCTTGTATACAGTAATTGTAAAAATATTTTATAATGTAAAGATTTTTGTTTTACCAAAAATTAACCTAACACTAATTCCCTTAGAAAGTGACTCTTACCTGCGATCTTTCTTGTTTATGATTTCCTTGATTTCCTACACAAATGGTAGAGAATTAATAATTATATGCCATAGAAAATTTAAGAATGTGTAAATTGGAAGAATATACTGTACAGTAGTTAAAGCCCCACTAACCAGCAACAGTGGAAGACAGCTGAATAAGAGGAGTGTGGGATATATGGCATATTAGGGTCTTGGTGAAGTCCCCCTGGCTGCTGCAGAGGCTCAACTCCCATGTACTAGCCTTCTTGCTGCAACATAAACATCATTACAAGTAAAATTACAATGGTATAGTAATTATAGAACAAGAAAAGAACACTGCCAGAGCTGTATGTAACATTAAACTGGACATATTCACAAATACTGTATAAAGTACAGGGTACTTGCAATGTGTAGAAATTATTAATGAATATAGATCTTCATGTGGTAAGGTATCCAAAGTAGGCAACAGAAGTTGTACAGTATGTAACAAAAAATAAAATTCTATTGATTTATTTATATATTTTTGGTTGTTCTTTGTTATAAGATATCTGCAACAAACAACTGTGTTATTGGAATATGAGATTTACTGTAAGTGTCAACAGTCTTGGCCAGATGATCCAATAATTATAAATTTTACAGGGGTGACCAAGATAGGGCTTCCTCTTCTGCTGCTTATTTGAACCTGTCAAAACATAAGTTCTATGTATTTGGCCAGAAGCAGAAGAGCTCTTGAAAGACAAAGTGGATATTTTGCAGTAAAACACAGGATAGCAGGGAGACCTTATCAGTAAACACACAAGACAGCAACTCTCTCTTGTTTAAAAAAAAAAAAAAAAAATTGGTTTGGGAAAATATTATAAATACTCACTGGCATCATTTCCTCTGTGAGCTCCTGATATGGGTTGTAAACTTACAAATGTTGGAAGCCATGTCTATTAAAAGTTATGGTCCAACTTAATGTCTCAGAATGGTTTAAATCATCAATGTAAGGGTGGAAATTGTTTGGGGGACCATTGTACTGTAATTCTAAAGTTGTACAAATACAAACCTGCAAAATAGCAGAACAGCTATGTGCCCCTGGCGTCAGTATTCTAAAAATGATCTGGGTTTGACTTTCATAAATTACTCTCTGATCTTGATTAAGATGAGGGATGAGAAAATTATTACAGAATGAATGAATAGATGAAAAAAAGAGGTATAACAATGTATACTCAGTCTCACCTGTTAAGTAACTGATGAACAGTTAAAGTTTCAAGTTTGAAGGAGAATGAGTATAGTGAACTTGGCTCTTCTTTCTTCATTTTATTCAGCACCTACAGAATGAATGATTAATTAATTTACTTATTTGAAGCAAAATTTAAGTGAAAGTCAAAAATTAATATGATACTTAAACACATGCGTCTCTTGCCCTATGAACAAACTGGAGAGAATGCAACAATCTTCCATTTACCCCATACATTTTCAGTACTCTTTTATTCACTATATCAAATACTTTTTTCTAAATCCATAAATGCCAAAAATTTATTCTTCCACTGATCTAGAAACTCTTTACTCAAGTTCTTTAATGTATACACTTACTCCAAACGTCTTCTTTTTATAAACCCACACAGCCCTTATTAAACCCTCAGTTTTGCTACAATGCTATTATTGATAACTCTTCCATACACTTCCCCAGTAAACTCAAGACTTACTTCTCTATCACTGTACAGTATTGGATTCACAGTAATAATCTTTATGACATGAAAAGGGAGGTCAGGAATATAAAGAGTAGGAAAACAGAGGGCAATTATGAAAATAATAGTCAAATCTGGATTGAATACAATTATGCATAGAACTGTAACTCGTGACAGTGCAAGAATGGGTGATTCGCCATACTCTGCACACAAGACTAAGCCTTTTATTATAAAATCTATAACTGTACAGTGATTGAGAAACTGGAAATATTATCAATGCACATAAAATAACCAACCTGAGCGGTGAACTGAGTGAGAGATGCCTGGGGCAGCATTAAGTACATACGCAAAGCCACAGCAACTTGCAAGGCTACGTGAAGTCTCTCTAACTGAGCCACTATCATCTCAGGTGATGTCTCACAATTACTGACAAACCATGAAAGCTGTTCACCAGTTGCTAGTTCACCAGCTAAAGGGGAATGACAAATAATATTGCATATCAGAACATAAAATTCTTGATTCACTAATGATTATTATCCAAGTCAATGAAGACACTTTTTATCAATTAGGTTTGAATAGTGGGGCTCAAATACCTAAAAAAAAAAAAAAAAGATGCAGTAACAATGAGTTTTCAGCATGATCTGTGACAACTTAATGGAGAACATACCTTGGAAGATATTGATATAATCCCTCTTGATCTTCTCACAGCCCATTTCAATAAGCATGTGCAAAGGCGTAAGATCAGATAGCTCCGGCAAACCTTCTTGTCCTCGCATCAAATTGCGTGACAAGCTGCCAACCTAAACAAGGTTATTAGTGTCAATATTAGTAGTTGAAATACTAATATACTGTAAGAACATTATTTGTATCTATAAAAAGCAAGTGTCTTATTTCTAAATAGGATTACACATACAAAAACCTCCTTCATCATTACAACAATCTTAGGTCTCCACTTCTTTGACCATTCACATACCTTCTTTGCCAACTTCCTTACTAAGACTACAGTATGAGTAAAATCTATAGCCCTAAACCAACAATTTTTGGTACGTACGAGGTCTGTCCAAAAAGAAACCAAACTTTTTAAAAAACAAATTTAGTGCTTTACTTACAACTTAATCAGACTTGTCTCCTTCAAAGTACTCCCCTCCACTGTTGATACACCGCTCCCAACGTTTTTTCCAGTTCTGGAACGCGTCCTGGAATGCGTTTTGAGGGATGGTGCGCAGGTCTAGTAGCGAATTTTCTTCTAGCTCTTCTATCGTCTGAAGTCAGCAACCTTTCAGGGTGAATTTCAACTTTGGGAACAAAAAAAAAAGTCCGCAGGGGCCAAATCCGGAGAGTAGGGCGGCTGGGGGATGATAGTCGCCTCGTGCTTCACCAAAAAGTCATGGATAGGGAGCGACGAGTGGGCAGGTGCATTGTCATGGTGCAGCATCCAGGTCTTGTTTGTCCACGCTTTAGGCCTCTTCCTTCACAGTGCCTCCCTCAAACGCTTCAGGACCTCCAAGTAAAACTCTTTATTGACTGTCTGACCACGTGGAACAAACTCATGATGAATGACGCCTTTCCAATAAAAAAGGACGATCAACATCACCTCCACATTTGAGCGACTCTGACGTCCAGCTTTGGGATCGTCTTCGGTGGATGTTTTTCCCCTTTTGAAACGATGGTACCACACGTGACATTGCATACGGCTCAAACAATCCTCCCCATAAGCCTGTTGCAACATTTGAAAAGTCTCCTTAAAAGTTTTTCCCAATTTGAAACAGAATATCACGCAAACACGTTGCTCTTCAAGATCCTTCATTGTTCAACTTGCAACAAATTGCCAAGTGCACTAAACACAAGTTCACTCTAGCGCGTGTAGCTCGATGACTAATTGACGTGGCGTGATGCGGCTAGTGTTAGACTAAAGGTCAAGGTCACCGCTACACAGCGCTCCCATCACGAGCACACTGCGCCAGCTTGTTGGCGCGCTATTTAAAAAGTTCTTTTTCTTTTTGGACAGACCTCGTATATACTTGATTGTAACTTTTGATGTTTTAACATTCATCTCTCTAATTCTAAAGGAAAGTTATTGCTTCCCTTTGAAATATTTAACCAGTCTAATAAGACTGCTGGTGGAAGCTTGTTGGAGTTTCTGAGTTTTAGGACAGTAATATGTACTGAGACCATATTGTTGGAGATGAAATTCCTTACTAAAACACATGAAAAACTAAATCAAGATAAAGATTACACTATCACAAGTTACTCAAACACAAAGTATCCAGCACCAACATCCTTACCTGTGTGTTGTTGCGAACATGTATCTGAGGGCGCACCTCCCCAGAGGCCACAGCCTCAAACACCAAGAGTAAACTCTCCTTTAGTTCTTGGTAGGACTCACATCCTGCCCAAAATTAACAAAATTAGTCACAAATATTGGATTAACATATGGACCAGTAAATTACATGAAGCATCTTCTTTATTATTAGATACTGTCACCCATATGAACAATAACAAAGACAGTTATCAGTACGATGACAATGCCATAAATAAACTTAAAATTATCACATTATCAAAAATATCCCAATTAAATTCCTAAGATACTTCAATCAATACTATATACTCATTCAGCTACACAAATGGAAATTACATGGCAAATGTAAAAATACTATATTTATGTTTAAGCTTATCATATTTTAGAAAATAAAAAACCCACCAGGGCCCTTGTGATAAAAAAACAACTCGAGATATGCTTGTGATGATATACAAATGCCCGCACTTGGCAATCATCAGTGTACGAGTACAGTACAGAACAGTCTTGTGATAATGATGTTTACCTGCTGAAGGGAAACTAATAGCCAGAAAATCTAATGAGGTAATACTATGTAAACAAAGAATCCTAATACATTTTTTATGTTTTACAATGGACACTTTTTCATTGCAGTAAAAAAAAATTTTTTTTTTAAGTTTAAAATATATTAATAAGGTCTTGTAGAGACCATCTAAAAGCTATTACAGACTTACATTGCTCTATAAATAATACGATCAACGTAAAATATTAAGACCTGAAGCACGAAATCATTTTTCATGGCCAAAGGAACTAAATGAGTGATCTTCAAAATACACCATAGCCAAGCATTTCTGGGCAGAACCAACCACTGCCATGAAGAAGGTAATGTCCATCAGCAGGATGACACTATCCATTAATATTTTGCTCCATGCTAGATAATTAGCAGACATCTCACCCACCCAAACCTGGATTCAATGGTTGTCTCAAGAGACCATTGAAGATTCAGGTCAAGTCTTCAACCCTCATAATGCATATAATTTTGCAACAACCAAATGGAATACAGTGCCCCAACACCATCAATGGAGGGAGGCAGAGAATCCAGGTCACTCATGTCATCCTCCCACTACAGTATATACTTGACACCCCTTAGAAGTGGCAGGCTCTTGCTGAGGGTCACCTTTCAGAAGTACATCTCATGGATCACTCATGTGGACCCATGGATCATAAAAGTTGAGAAAAAAAAAAAACTTAAAAAGGTAACCTTGGCAAGGATATCTCGGTTTACTTTTTGCTGAATCCTACATTATTAGGATACACAAGTGAGGAGTATGGAAGGATGGCAGGGTGCAAATGCACTACAGGAGGGTTTAAATAAACTGCAGGAGTGGTCAGAGAGATGGCAAATGAAATTCAACACCAGCAAGTGCAGCGTACTTAATATTGGTAGAATAAATACTGTCAACGTATACAGCCTTAACAACATCAACCTAGAAAGGTCGGCTTGTGAAAGAGACTTAGGGGTACTTGTAAGCCCGGACCTACGGCCTAGAAAACAGTGCGTTAATGTTCGAAATATGGCAAACAGAGTATTGGGTTTTATATCCAGAAGTGTAAGTAATAAGGGTGCAGAGGTCTTATTGCAACTATATCTTGCGCTAGTCAGACCGCACCTCGATTATGCGGTTCAGTTCTTGTGCCTTTATTATAGAATGGATATCAATTCACTGGAGTCGGTGCAGCGAAGAATGACAAAAATGATTCCCGGACTTAGAAACCTTCCATATCAAGATAGGTTAAAGAAACTAAACTTGCATTCCCTAGAAAGACGAAGAGTGCGGGGAGATATGATAGAAGTATTTAAATGAGTGAAAGGAATCAATAAAGGCGATATAGATAAAGTTCTTATAATATCCGAGCAGGATAGGACTCGTAGCAACGGATTTAAGTTGGATAAGTTTAGGTTTAGGAGGGCGATAGGAAGGAACTGGTTCACAAATAGGGTGGTGGACGAGTGGAACAAGCTTAGCAACTTTGTAGTAAGTGCTGGAATGCTGGAGAGTTTTAAAAGAAGGCTAGATTGATTCATGGATGATAGAGAGTGGTAGTAACTATCGACAGGAGCTGCCATGCACAGGCCAACCGGCCTATTGCTGACTCCTTATTTCCTTATGTTCTTATGTTAAATCAATATATCGGCACTTGTACCCCCACATATGCAATAAGGCTTTAAGTCTTATAAGCAGAAAGTGACCCAAAGACCAATATGTCCTGTGGGCTGCTACCATTAGTGTCCCCCCTTAATATGAAGGAGGGAAAAATTTGAATTGGCTTCAAAGTACTATCAAAATGCTAACCAAAATATTTAGCAATAAGCCAGGTCTTACAAATTTTGGGGGGAATGTAAAAAGTTGACATTTGAGAGTTTAGAGATAAATGTTTAATTTGCTAGTAAAAATGGTCTTGGATTATTATTTATAATATCATTCATGATGGACTTCATATCCTATCCAAATACTCCACTCGAAACAATCTTCATAACAGTCATTGGACATCCAAATGAACAACTTATGTGCTGGCAACAGGTCTCAAATCACAACAGTAAGTTGTTCCAGCATAATGAATCCCAATGCCAATATTTATCTCACCTCAGTATCACAAAATGATAATATAATGTTCCAACTTAGTATGTCACTTCTGAGAATGAACTAGCTTTAGATAAAAAAAACTGAGAGAAATAACATCCATTATATAAAACTATTGTGTATTAATAAATGACAAATGAATTACTGTACTGTGTGTATATACAAAAACCAAATATAGTACTGTTGTACAGGTACTGCAAATATAATAAATAAATAAAATACTGATGATTAAATACTTGATCCATTCCCCAACCTACTCATAAAAACAGTCCACAGAAGGTCAGTAAAGTCCATGTTCTGTCGACGGTTGAATGACTTGCTCTCAATCATCAAGTCAAATTCAGACCCTCTATGCTCCTCTTTCTTTATTCGCTGACCTGCACATATATACAAAGATATGGTAAGTAATATCCACTGTAGATTTAACAGACATACACACAAAAAAGTTATTTTTGTTCTTTTTCAGGTGAGGGAATCATAACAAATTAAAGATGGAAGAGAAATTAACACTAGAGGAAAGAGTTGGTTTATTAAATTATTCATGTACAGTCAGAAGCTACACAGATCAGTTGCAAAAGAATTTAATCAATAACACCCATATTTTGCAACTGATCAGTATAGCTTCTGACTCTGTACATGAATATTAAACCAACTCTTTCCTCTATTGTTAATTTCTCTTCCAGCTTCATTAATTTGTTATGATTCCCTCACCTGAAAAAAAAGACCTAAGAGTCCAAGCTTAAAAATGAAGATTATAATACAGTACAGCACTATAAATAGTTTTTATTATTGACCCTTAATATAACTTTAGTCAATAGCTACAGTTCTAATAATTAGATATTTGTATGTTTTTGATGCCGTATTTCTGCAATTTCTAGTTCAGTGATTCTTAAATTTTTACTTTGTGCCTTTCTACAAGTTAACCTCTGACCTCCCGCACCTCCCTTCAAGTTGACTTCTGCCCCCCTTCACCTCCTGACAAGTTGACGTCTGACCCCCCTGTAATAGCCTCTATCAATATATAGACAGTAGTATTTACTGTAAATAAATGTGGGCTATTTACAATTATTCACTATAATTTACACTACCCAAATTAACTAGATAATTAGCAACGTCCTTCTCACATACTGGTTGACATTCCCATGTCCTCCACATACCTCTGATTTGCACAGTACATCACCAAGTGCCCAGTCCTCAGTGGAATTAACCCCTATACCTCACTCACAACAGATGTGTTAAAGGAGCTCTGTAAATTACCTATACAGTGGTCCCTCGGTTAACGAACACAATCCGTTCCACCAGGTTGTTCATTAACCGAAAAATTCGTTAACCGAAACCATTGTTTCAATGGGTTTTTGGGTAATTGGTTCCAGCTCACCGAAAATTGCCTAAATTCAACAAAAATGGTAGAAAAGTTCACTTACTTTGAGGTGTGTATGTAGAAGGCTCCTGGATGATGATGATGGGAATTAGAATGGGGGTGGAGGAGAAGGAAGAAGAGAAGGCATTGGGGTGGAAGAGAAGTCACCCCATGGCACCATTTCACCCATAAAATTTTAGTTCTCTTGGTGTATTTCAAGATTATTTTCTTTAAATCAACACTGCACTGCATTATATATTGTCAATATGTAAAATATATTTCAAAATGATCAATAATTTGCTTGGAAACACAGAAAAAAAGCATTTAGTTGAAGAGAGTCTCAAGCAAGATGTTACCTCCACTGAAAACAGAGAGAGACTAACACCTGTTTGCTGTGTTAAGAGGCTGGATGCCGCGCATTAAACTAGTCACTTTACCTTCAATTATGTTCAATAATTGTTAAAATGACTAAAAAATTGAATATTAAACTTATAAAATTATTGAATAGTATAAACTTCTTGATATTTACTAAAATAGTAAGGAATTTAAGCCCTAGAACCGATTAATGTAATAGTGGACTAATAATAAAGCTGGTTGACCGGCCAGTGCAAGCGAAAACATGTTGAGGTCGGTTCGTAAGAAATTCGTTAACCGAATTTTTGTTCGTTAACCGAATTTAAGAATCTTATGGGAGGCAGTTCGTTAACCGAAATTTCGTTAACCGAGGCGTTCGTTAACCGAGGGACCACTGTATTCTCTCAAAAAAGGACAGTTGCTTAATCTTGTTTAATTTGTCATTAACCCTTATGCCACAGGCAATGTAAGACTCGCCGTACTGTTGTGGCTGGTGTGCATGTGATCCCATACGTGCACAGTGGCCACAACCTCGCTGAGGGGGTGGCTGGCAGGGTGGGAAGGGGAAGTGAACACCATTGTCTGTATCACTGTCCTCACCGCTGGCCGCCTCAACAAAGTCGACCTCATCTGCGTCTGTTTCCTCCCCATCACTGTCTTTACCACCCAATACTATATCAATGCCACTCAAATCAAACAACTCTTGATGAACAGCACTACTGTTGAGGGTGTGGAGGAGTGAGGCGGCTCACTAGACATTGAAGGATGTACAGTCGGCCACAAGATAAGTATACACCTACGGTTCGTGATTGAGACAAAATATCTGGTAACACTGTCCTGAACAGAACAGACAAAATTACAAAATGACCTGTAATTTATGTTTTATTCCTACATATATGTTATAAATACATTTGTTGTGAATGTCTTACTAATGTCTTGTGTTTATATAACAAGTAATATATTGTATCCAATGGTAGTAAACTTGTTGCCGAATGGGATTGCAGTTATCGTACAGCTCCCTCCTCCTCCCCCACTTTTTCTCTTACCCTACTTTTTTTTTACTGATGTTTGGATTAGCAAAGAAAGGAAGAGGAGTAAATTGAAGAAAAAAGAAGAGGAAACAGAAAATAGTTAGAGATAAAAGGTGGGGGGAGCTGAGTTTCATGATGCGCCTGGATGCGCAGTGTTACCAGACCATTTTCGGACCTTACAGCTACAGTGTGTATACTTATTCCTGTGGCCGACTGTACATCCATCATGATAGCCTGTGGGTAACTGCACCACTAGACTTGAGACAAAGATTATGCGCAAGTTGAGTTACCAAGTAAATAAAAATCCTGCACAGATTGTGTTTGTGTGAACATTAAGTACAGTACTGTGAAACAACTACAGAGATTAGTGATAATAATCAAACTAAAACTATACAGTAACTAAAACAGTTACAAGGTACCAGCTGGAGGGAACACCGACTAGTACAGGGTTATTAACTGATGGGATTACCTGACATTCTACAACAAACTGATCTTTCACTTCCCTCACCTCTCTACAAATTGACCTCTGACCCCTTCACCTGCCTACAAGTTAACCCGTTCCTCCTTACCTCCTACAAGCTGATTTCTGACTCCCCCGATACAGTATTTAAGTATAATGACAATACAGTTCATTGTATTCATTTGGTTTGAAAGTAAAAATGAGTCACTGCAATCTACCCTGTACAACTTCATTTCATGTGACACATTACATAGCTGGCTGTAAGTGGAACACATAATTCTGTGTACAGTGAGAGAATAAAGTATCTTCCCAGCTTTGGCCCAAATATAATGAATCCTGGTGGATTATACTGGAAGCATTACTGAGACTGCATACGTGTGTCGAAGGGCTCAACTGTTCTGCATTGTATTTGTCAAAACCCCGGAAGATACTTCATTTCTCAATGTACATTAGTAGAGGCAACATAATTAATGTGAGGGATGGTACACGCTCATTTCTAATTCAATCTCAAAAATTATTGTGTCAGTGCACCTTTACATTAAGTTTAATTGGACCCTCACCCCCTAGGCCCCAGTTTAAGAATCACAGATCTAGAATATATGCTTTACAAAGTTCAACATATCAATAAAAAATTAACAGAAAATTCTAACCTTTTTCTCTAATGATGGCAAAAACCTTTTCTATGTCTTGGGCCATAGTGGTAGTTCCTTCTCTAATGAACCAAACCACCTCCCCTGACTTTAGGCCAGCAACAAACCCACGAAGCACATTTAACTCCTGAAATATCTGGTAAGCGGAACAGCGTGGATCACTGGATACTATCCTTAGACTCTGAAAATAGCATTACTCTATATAAACAAAGTTGGAGTATCTAGACTCAGCATCTATTAATTATCCTAGTGATATCTGGTAATGGATTATTCCCCCTGAAAAGGCCATTTCTAGAAAGGGTTGACATCAGGTGGTCTTAAAAAAATACGTCACTTATCTCCAACTGTAAATAATTCTTTATTGAACTCTAAAAGATATATCTCTCTTAAGTCAATAAGCATTACAAAACATGTCTAAAATTAGTAATCTATATATGTATTGTACAACAGAAGTAATTAATCAACTCACTGCTGTGGTACTGGCACTAGGTGCAGGGGGAGAAAGGATGGTGAGTGGTCTCTTCCAGTTGCAAATTAACTGCAAACTAGACGAGTTATTCTCCTCGACAGTGTTCAGTACATCAAATGTTGCCTCCACTGCACTCTCTACCTTGATTTGTTAAACAGTAAAAATGTCAGCTTTATGTCTTGCGCTCACACAATAAATGTGCGAGATGATGGGATGGGTGAGGTGGGGTTGGGTTTGAGTCAAGTGGAAGATGGGGTAGAGTAAATAGAAGTGGGTTACGAGGAGGGGAGGAGAGTGTAGAGAGAAATTAAAGAATTTGATTAAAGAAACACAGCCTGGTGTAAAGCCCACAGAACTCCAATAACCAGCACTCTCACTGTCCATGACATACTATTGAAAAATTATATACAGTATTTCCCAATATGAAAAGGACCACCATTACAATCTCCCGGTAAAATATAAATAATGAATAAATAATAAGATCATAAATGGATTCTGTCCAATGAAAGAACTCCTATTTTTCTTGGAGGGCAAAGGCCAAAATATTTCCCTCATATAATCAACAATTTCTCAAAAATATTTTTAGTGGGTGCCTACAAAAGATTTCTGGACAATGGGCATGCCCAGGCTACAATACCCCACATACTGTACGTATACAGGGAAATTTCCACCCCAAATTACCTAAGGATTATGCCTCCTTCAAAAAATTGGATAAGTTGTAGGAAATTTTGTTTCTTATCAGTTGTAAATATAACAGGAAAATTAAGATAAAAGGAATGCATCAACTCCATTTCTTCAAAAAAAATTCTTATTTCTATATTAGTGATGCAGTCAGCCCTCCACTGCTCCCTACAAAATCTACTCAAAGGGGACATTCAATTGTGACCTCACTGCATTGGGGGGAGGAGGAAGGGATAGGGTTCATGTAGATCATCAAAGGTGGCAACAAGAAGGAGGGTATAAACCATATATTTTCACACTGAATAATCAAATTATGCTTATATCTAATATATATACTATACTGTATAGTAGACTCGCAACTTAAGCGGGGGTTACGTTCCTGGGACCCCACGTAAAGCCAAAAACCGCGTAAAGTCAGAAACACTCCTAAAAATCCCCTAAATCGCCCTTAAATCACTATATATGCTGGTAGTAAAGACTCGGTGCCTTCTCCCTTAGCATGTTGCCGTCGATGGGGACACGTTTCTGGTTCATATCCTCCACCCAGATGTTTAATGCCTTCTCCACCTTCACTAGAGTTACATCTCTAACCTGGCTAGTCACCTTAGCAGTAAATGAGGCACTTGTAGACACGGCTTCACGAATTTGCCTCTCCCAACTCTTGATGGATCTCGCGCTTGATTCGTTCCACCCGTACCTCCGTGCCACAGCAGCGATTAACATGCCGCCTTTTATTAAGTCTAACATGACCACTATTTCTTCCCGGGTCATCACAGAGCGTTGTTTTTTCGCTGAAGGACCAGAGGCAGAAGTTGGCTTGTGTTTGGACATTATGAACGAGTATGAGAGAGGTTTAAATGCACTAAATTAACACACAAGAGAGGCAGCTGTTACTTCAACGATACACGCGCGGCAACTGAGACAGACAGAGGTGGCCAGGTGGGATGGCAGGGTGGTGCGTTTGGCGGGCTTGCGACCCATTTTGAGTTTTGAGTTTGAAACCGGAAATTATAACCTAACCCCCGGGGTAAGCCACGTATAGTTGAAAACGCATAAGAAAAATCCGCGTAAGTTGCAAGTCTACTGTACTTAAAATTAAATACAGCATTCAACATTTTTCATGAGTAGTTGATAATTTTTACCATCTCCTGAAATATCTAAGTAGCCTAACTTTTGAAAAAGGAAGTAATGGTGGGTATGGCTCAGCACTCTGAAGGAACCTCTCTTGTAACAGAAGATAAGCTAAGAGCATTTTTATCCAGCAAACAAATTAGAAAAGTATTAAATCCTAACTTTTTTATATTTGTGGCCCTTGGGTCAGGAAACTGGCATCCTTGACCTACCCGGTATATTTAATTATGATACACTGAAATTTATAAAGTTTTTAGGACTAGATTTCCTGGACCCTTATACTATACAAAGAATAGAAAATTTAAAAAAAGTCTGTCTCCAATACATATAATACTGTATTAGACATTTAGTTAACTGACACATTAGAAAAAAAAATACTTATCTTATATTTCAGCCCAATTATGTCAGGCCTAAAACATAAAGAAAAGACAAATATTCTGATAAGTTTAATGATATGAAGATCATCAAGTTTATATTTCCTAATATCTAGCCACACATGGCATACTCACATTGATGCAACACATATTGAAAGTTGTAGCCCCCTGATAACTCAGAATTTGATAACCCATAATTTGATACAACTGAGTATAGCAGTAAAATATTCCAATGTAAATTATTTTCAAATTATTTTTTACAGAACTTGCAATATTCTGAGATTTGATGACGCAATCTTGGAATGGTAAAACACGTGTGACCCACGCAGGATGTGTGGGAGACTGCCCGGTCAGCCACTCAATTATGTGTCAGTAGGCCTAGTGAGAGGATACCCACCCGCACTAAAAATTTTATCAGTATACATATACAGTACAGTAGTGTTTAAGTGAATACAAGGGATAATAACATTTAAAGTTGGTGTTGTAAGTCCTTACAATACAGAATTGTACTGTACTGTAGACTGTAGTGCAGTGGGCCCCCATCACCTCTGACACCTACCACATTTTACCATAAGCTTGAATTATCCTCATCCTTCACCTACAGTGCTGGTAAGTGTTAATTTTTGTGCAAGTGTTCTGATTCTGGTTGATTATTTGGGTAAAAAAAGTTGAGTATTGAGGTGGGATGAAAGACCAGGAGGAAAACGCCTTGATAAATCAGAATAATTCGAGCCCCGTGTACAGTATTCAGAGTTATTAAGGATTTACTGTCTTACAATGACAAAAACTCCAGAAGATAATAATTAAAAAATAAATAAATACCAATAGTAATCATCTTTTCACTTAAATCACTCATTCTGTTCCTGTGAAGTTCCTTTCTTACAAAATAAGCCAGCAAGTATGGAGACAAAATTAAGAAGACTACAGTATTAGCTGTGTGAAAACTTAAGATGGGTGTCCTTTATCATAGAAGATGCCATAATAAAGAGCCAACATGTATTTGTTATCAGTTTTATGATTTAAAATATTTGATGAGTTACCCTCTTTGTCGGGCCAATGGCTATGTGATGCATCTTGAGGTGATCCAAAGATGGTAAATTCTCACAACCTTGGTATGGGCCTGATGTCGTAACTATCGTGCGAGACATTCTACCTTCACTACGTTGTAATCCAATGAAGAGAGTTCCCTGAAAAGCGAAAAATTTGCTTTGAATAGGTAGGTAGATTTTCCTTCATAAATTACCATAGTGTATGTTCCAGTTGAATACATATCTCAATGGAATATCAAGGGAAAGAGAAAAAAAGGGGATATAGGATATGTTCAGGTACATATTATCCCATACTACTACCTAATCATCCAACCATATGTAGGTCTGGTGAGTGAAATGTAAATGGGACTTGGAATGAGATATACAGGTGTATTTGAGAAATGAAACTGAAATCTGTTATGTGTATGCAAGAAAAAGATGAATGAATAAGTCTTAAACATATTACAGTAGAACGTCAATATAACACATAACACGAGATGCGTTCCAAGAGAGGTCGCTTTAAACCGAATTTGCACTAAATCAAAGTGTTGTTTCAATGGAATTATTCAGTTTGGTACTTAGGAGAAACACAAAATACTAAAAAGACTGAGAGTCTACCCAGATGCACCTCAGCCCATCTCCTAGAATAAACAAAACATTGTTTTTTTTGTAGTATTATGTTGAAACAAACACTCATAAATCAACACAGCTAAAATTATGTGATGTGAAATGGTCTGTTTACTAGCATCAGCGGATGGGAAGGGGGGGGGGTGGTGGTGAGGTGATATGTTTGACGGTTGATGCCAAGGTTTAGTGCTTATTTATTTATCTGTCCTTAAGAGTGACTACGGTAAGTTTTTCTCTTAAAAAATGTCACAGAACTGACCTGGGAGAATATAATTAACGTTGCTGGAATTCTTATAAGATAATGATTAGTTTGATTTTAAACATGCTATAGTTCGCAAGAGACATACAAATTTTAGTTTAATTGGTAATTTTATTACAAAAGGCTAAAATTTTTATCTCTTGTGCAAAATATATGATGTCTGAATACAAATTATTCGCTGTCTTGCAAGGATTCCAGCAATGCATTTTATATCCTGCTAACTTTAGTCTGTGACATTTTATAAGATCAAAACTTAAAGCCTAAAAACCATGGTCACTCTTACAGGAAGTCCAGGAGAGTTGATTCATTATGACAGCTGGGCCTGAGTCAGACACCGGTTACCTAGGGGTATTTATTTATCTGTATATAGGGGGAGTTTATGTTTTTCTCTTATAAAATGTCACTGAACTGACCTGGGAAAATATTATTAGCATTGCTGGAATTCTTGCAAGATAGTGATTAATTTATATATAAACATGCTATAGTTTGCAATAGACATAAAAAATTTAGTACTTAATTAGTACAAATGACAAAAATTGGTATCTCTTTTGCAAAATATATGATGTCTACATTCAAATTATTCGTTGTCTTGCAAGGATTCCAACAATGCAGGTTGAATTCTCCTAATTTTAGTCTCTGATATTTTATAAGATATAAACTTTAAGCCTAAAACCACCAAACCCTGAATGAGAGGGGGGGGGAGTGACAATGACATGTTTGACAGTTGCCCGGAAGGTCTAATGAAGTATTTATTAGTTTATTTAAGTCCTTAAGATTGAGTTTTGGTTTTTTGCTTATAAAATGTCACAGAAGTAACCGGGGAAAATATAATTTACATTGCTGGAATTCTTATAAGATAGTGATTAATTTGAATATAATCATGCTATAGTTTGCACTAGACAAATTTGTTTTAATCATTTAGTACATTATTTTGAGTACATGTACAGTACAGCTTTGCCCTTAGGACAGTGTAGCGTGCCCAGAGAAACATTAGGCCATTAGGCGCGAAATTTTAAATATGATACGCCAGATTGACTCGCTAGATTGACTCGTGCAAAATAGGAAAGATTCGCTTTAAATAAAAATATTGTCCTTAATTGTGGGTGTCACTTTAAATCAATAATCTTAAATTGAATCACTTTAAATCAACGTTTTACTGTAAAACTCCATCCAATTAACAATACAGTACAATGCATCAAAAGTTAAATACTGTTGTCATCCTCTACCACAATACTGTACCATTGTTGAGCACAAGAGGTGAATATGGAGCCAATTATCTGAGAAAGAGTGTTGATTGTACAAGCTAAGTCTGCAAATACAAGGCGAAGTTGGTGATGGTTGTGATAAATAAGAATGAATGAAAACGATCTAAAAAGTAAAAAATAAAAACATTTTTCATTCTAAAAGCTCTTTCCCACACAGCATAGGCTGCTCCCCCATCATTCACTGCCATCCAATCTTTCTAAAAGGTATATCAGATGAGTATGTAATTGTGTTTCCCATCCACATCATGAATTAAAAGGTTTCCATCTGATTTACCTCTCACTTCATACAATCCAGATCACTCATAAGCAGTATGTCCATCACCATAAACCACTTGACAAAAAACTCTCACCCTTCATCCACTCAAATTAGAATTTAAGTGATATAAGGTCTAATTTCAGATTACTGGGTAACTACAAACATAGCATGGATAACATTACAGATTATTAAGTGTTCCATCATAAGATAGCAATAGATGTAGACAAATTAAAATTTTGCATAATTACCTGAGCATCTTTGCCATCACACACAACCCATAATGGCAAGTGCTCATCCGAGTTACCAGACATCTTGCTCAAGACCAAATTAAAGTTTGAAGCTATCAATCTGGAAATTAAACACATGTAATAAATGGTGCTTTGCACAATACATAATTCATAAAACCTGTAATGCAAAATTCCTGCATCAACAAATGGTCAACAAATGGTGACTTGAATTTTTCATATATATATATATATATATATATATATATATATATATATATATATATATATATATATATATATATATATATATATATATATATATATATATATATATATATATATATATATATATATATATATATATATATATATATATATATATATATATATATATATATATATATATATATATATATATATATATATATATATATATATATATATATATACTGTACAGTGGTTAAAAAATCCACAATGATTGGAAGATGCTGATATTTGTATTCAGTTTACCAAGTCACCTCACTTGTGCTGACATCTTCTAACCATTATCTAATATTAGGCACCCCAGCTGTCACCTGATGAACAATCTAATGCTAACTTAACCTAACCTATACCCCTGAGGTAGGTTTAAGGTGTTTAATTATCAGGTAAAATAAGTTGTGGTACCTAAGTTACCACAATGATTGAAAGATGCTAACACAGGTGAAGTGACCTGGTAAACTGAATGAAATTCAACAAGCATAGGCAAAGCAAGTATAGTCCCTTAACCAATCAGATCACAGCTTCTTCAGACTGTCAACCCATAAGGAGCTTTCTTCTTACACCACCAATACCATGTCACCAAAGGTTGGGGCAGAGACAATACCCAACAAAATGCCATCTGAGCCAGATTTGTAAGCTGAATACTCGAATTTCACTGTAACTTATTGTAATCAACAGAATGCAAAACTATAATTATTGTAAGCATTAGAATGCAAAACTATATCAAGATGACTTACCCTGCCTTTGTGCTACAAATAGGCATGTAGGAAAGCATCTTCTCTTTCTTCTTAGACAGTGGCAAAGACACAGTGAAGGGAAGGTCTGCTTCATCCCTGTATTGCACAAAGGAACACTTCAACGGAGATCCTGTTACGTCTAGATCTGCTGAAGGACATCAGAAGAAGAAAGAAGAAATGAATTCGTAAACCATTACAGAAGATTATTAAATAATTAAAAAAAGTGTTCATGCACTTTCCATATTTATTATGTATATTTATCACTAACCAATACTGTCACAACTGATTTTAGCTGGTGTCTGGCCATTAACTTGAAGACGGATGTTACTCTGTAATGAAGGCGAGTCCTCGAACTCAGTACTCCTCAGTCTTTTGCAATGCTGGGAAAAAAGAAAAACGTACATTCTGTTTAGACCGCTCATTAAGCATGTACAGTATTGTTGTACAGTATGGATATTGGGTGATACATTTGCTTTAATATATAGTTTAACATAAGTAATGCATTGTTTATTTATTTGGGTGTTATTAATTTCATGTTCGGTTACCAAATGTAGTAGGATCAAAATGCCACAGAGCTACACATACCCAGAGGCAGAACCAGGAATGTCAAAGGGGAGCGGGGGATGTCTAAGAAGTTGTGGGTGGGGGAACATGGCAAGCACAGCGAGCTCACCCAGCTTAAATATAACCAATATCATCAGCATTTGGAGGCCATTTCAAAGCCATGTGCACCTGATATTAGGAGATATTCTGAGGCCAATAGTAATAACTTTTTACAATACAAAAATGCCTGAGTACAATACTGCATTAAAGAAAAAGCCTTGGAATTTTCTGATGAAAAGGGAGGGTGGTCTGTACCCCCAGAATCACCTCCCCCCCTGAATCTGCCCCTGATACCAACCCTCCTGGGACATAACGAATTGCATGTAGCATTTCGGAAGTAATCGGATCAATCCTGGCAGATACTTTTTTGAGGTATACTGTACAGTATAAGTAGCAAGAATAAAGATTTTTGCCTCTTGCTCCTATAATACCTGTATTGTACAGTACAAGTCCAAAAATCAGGACTTCTTGGGGATTGGGTCGGTCCGGATTTTCGGATTTTCCGGATTCTCAGGCAGTACTTTTAAAATTCAAATTTAAGGAGGATTAAAGAAGAGATGAACAGGTACATTTTGATAGTTTATTCATTAGCAAATATAGCATGCTTCATTTATCAAAACGAGCAGTTTTAAAGTAAAAGCTGTGAATTCTAGAATTTTATTCTTTGCCTTTTTTATATCATAAATTGTAGACTTTCCAATGTCGAATGTTTCCATTAGAACAGTACTGCTCACACCACGTTCTAGTTTCTTAATTATTTCAAGTTTGTCACTCAATTTCAACGTGTTCTTCTTTCTCTTCACACAACGAATTTTATCTACTTTAGGAGCCATTATTATGGGCTTGTACAGTACTCTGTACAGTGGTCCCTCGGTTAACAAGCACAATCCGTTCCAGCAGGTTGCTCGTTAACCGAAAAACTTGTTAACCGAAACCATTGTTTCAATGGGTGTTTGGGTAATTGGTTCCAGCTCACCGAAAATTGCCTAAATTCAACAAAAAAGGTAGAAAAGTACACTTACTTTGAGGTGTGTATGTAGAAGGCTCCTGGATGATGATGATGGGAATTAGAATGGGGGTGGAGGAGAAGGAAGAAGAGAAGGCATTGGGGTGGAAGAGAAGTCACCCCATGGCGCCATTTCACCCATAAAATTTTAGCTCTCTTGGTGTAATTCAAGACTATTTTCTTTAAATCAACACTGCACTGCATTATATATTGTCAATATGTAAAATATATTTCAAAATGACCAATAATTTGCTTGGAAACACAGAAAAAAAGCGTTTAGTTGAAGAGTCTCAAGCAAGATGTTACCTCCACTGAAAACAGAGAGAGAATAACGCCTGTCTGGTGTGTTAACAGGCTGTATGGCATGCCAGAAACAAGTTTCTTTACCTTCAATTATGTTCAATAATTGTTAAAATGACTAAAAAAGTTAATATTAAACTTTTAAAATTATTGAATAGTATAAACTTCTTGATATTTACTAAAATAGTAAGGAATTTAAGCCCTAAAACCGATTACGGTACTGTATTGGCGGACTAATACTACAGCTGGTGGACCGCCAAATGCAAGCGAAAACATGTTGAAGTCGGCTCGTAAAAAACTCGTTAATCGAGGGATTGCTCGTTAACCGAAGTTAAGAATCTTATGGAAGGTAAATCGTTAACCAAAATCTCGTTAACCGAGGCGCTCGTTTACCGAGGGACCACTGTAAATGGAAAGAGTAGGACTCAAAATTACATACGTTGTCACAGTTTGATTGCTCGTTTTAAAGTGGCGACCGCGTGGTCGCTTGTTGTCGCTGTGCAGCTGTGGCGCTCACGCATGCGCACATACACACAAAAGCCAGCAAAAAAAAAAAAAGTCTGGATTCTCGGGTGGTCCGGATTTCTGGCATCCGGATTTTTGGACTTTTACTGTAATTAGCAAAATATTTCTATTCATCAATCAGCAACCAAGCACAAAGAAATTTGCAAAGTCTGTATTCTAGAAACCCCAAGTCCTTGAAGAAATTCTTATGGCTAAAAGGATCCAGCCTTATCAAGCATGAGTGAAACAATTCAACATGTATAAATATTCAATCAGCCAATAAATACAGTAAGGTGTTACAGTGTGCTGTATATAGTACTGTACAGGGTACAGTATATGAAAAATAATACTGTACTCTCCTAAACTTAAGAGAAAATATCATAAACAGCTGTGATACATTTATACACTAAAAAAATGCAGGTTATACAATAAAATATATATCATTAAAATATTTTGAATATATGAGCTCTGATACTGAAAAGGAACCTACCATACAGTATTTCATTCCTAAATCTAATAAGAAAGAACTCTTAAAAGGGGGTTACAAATGTGTAGCAAATAATGTACTAACAAGTTATAAATTTCTATTGTCTAACAAGTAGTGGGTGATATGTATAGAAATTATACACTCCACATACACCCACCAAAAGAAGTTCTGTTATGAACCATGAGATTCATGAACCTGTGAATCAGAGACCTCACACAATGCGCCTTCTATAGACCCAACAATGTGTGATGTCTCGGATTCACAGGTTCATGAGTCTCAGGGTTCATGGGTGGGAGAGTTTTTGGTGGGTGTACAGTCAACAGTAGAAGTTCATACCGAACCAACCTGCATGATATGAGGCGGGTGATCTGCTAACACTGTATGGGGAAGAGTTGACAAATAAGATATGCTTTACAATTTATGATAAAAAATTGCCTGAGAATACATTTCTTGTATATAACTTAATAGTATCAATATGTAAAATGTGGGAAAATAATGTTATTGAGATTTATATGACACTGCTTTATAATGAATGCGCCCTTAAGTACATAAGATACTTGTAGGAATCAGCACTAAAACTAATCACATATGTCAGGTTCCCTAGTTATGAATCATCCTGCAGCAATGTCAGATATTTCTCAATATTATTATTTTACATATAGATACAAATTAAATTGTACAGTATACAAGAAAATTATTCTTAGGCAATTTCCGATCATAAATCTTAAATAACTAGTCATGTAAGGCTTATCTGACAACTCTTCCTCATACAATGTTACCAGATTACCTGCCTCATATCATACAGGTTGGTTCGGTATGAACTTCTACTGTTGACTGTACATACTATTTGTATTATGCATAGTCCACACCACTTATAAGCCGCAGAGACTGGTGGCTTCAAAATTCCTAACCAGCAACTTTGCTGGATCCATTCCTCCCCCACCTCCCAAAATAAACAAATCATGCAATTAATTTACATCTTCATTCATACCTCCCAGGGTGTGGAATAGTTAAATTGTAATAAGGGATTATGTACATTAAGAGTGGGAAGTTAGTTGGTTAACAAAGACTTCTAGCAATCTATACAAACATAATTTAGTTTATCAGTATTTATAATACAAAACTACCTGAAGAAGAGCAAGGTTGTAAGCCAGAAACTTCTTCCTACCTAACAAAGATGAGAAGTGAGGAATTGTTTCTCAGATATATTAAGAGTCTGTATAATGTAATAAGCCATATTATAAACATTTTCTCATACAATTTAATAAATTTTCAAATTAAAATAAATGGGCAGATAAAAATGACATACTGAATGAATGAAGTATTACTGGCATGCATAATCTAACCTGTGAAAAGCGTTGTATAAGAATGATATCTGGGGTCTGCTTGTTGAAGGGTAGAAGTATGGCAGGACAGGCCTCCCGACTCACAATCAGCCGCTCCTCACCCACCACCACATGTTCACCATATTCACTCTTCTTTAACAGTAGCCTGAAAACATATGATGCCTAATTATATCTGGGAGATCCCTTCAAACTAACTAAATTTAGCTTATACAGTATTTGGGTTATACTGTACATCTGTGATAAAATATTCACAAATACTATGTGGATGAATTAAAAATATTGAATAATAATCCTTTGCAAGTTGTCCATCTTCATTTCTGCTTAGCAATCTGAAAGTCTCAAGATTATTAATTTACAAAAAAATATCACGGCTCTTACTAACTTTTCCCATCTTCTAACACAATAAAACTAAAAGGCTAAACTGTTTTAATTGAAATAATAAAAGATATGGCAATACATATCTGTAGCTACTCCATTAAATTTTTACTTGGAATTCAGGACCTTTACAACACTTTCAGCTATATGTGATTCATAAGGTCGTATGATTATTTTTAACATGTTCTGTACTGGTTTGGGCTCCCACAATGATATACTGTTTACTTTACTTTATCCTCTTCGCCACTGTTTAACTCGTTAGCCACTTGGACAGTTTGTCACATCCTGTTCCATACCGTTGGCAAGTACTGGCCACATACTAGTTCTAGAATATATCTGTACTTGCACCAGTGTTAGTCAAGCCTGGCCTTGAATGAGCTCACACTAGGTGCCGTCACAATACTTTTGGGCAGATCGTTCCAAGAGTTCACAACTTTCACTCCAAAAAAGTTTGTCCTGACAATTTACTGAACTTGTTGCTTCTTCAACCTTAAGTTGTGACCCTTAGTGGGGCGGGCATCCGCCAGCTTCAGGTATGATCACTCGACTGAGTAATGTCCTCTGAGGTGTTTATAAACTTCTATTATGTCACCTCTTGCCCACCTATAGTATGAGCTAGACAATTACAAGCATTCTAATCTCTCTGGGTACCTCAGGTGCCCTCCTTTGGACTTTGTCAATCAACTGACAATCTCCAACATATCTTGAGGACCAGGTGGGTTGACAGTACTCTTCAAGTGTAGTTGCTCGATTCAACTTCTTCTCACACTGGTCCGAGAACTTCAGTTCATTGTCAACATACACACTCAGGTCCTTTTCTCATTTACTCTCTGTTAATGCTGTTTCTTCATCCAGTTGAGACATGTCATACACCTCCTTACTGTTGGTATGACCTAGGTGCATCCTATTGCATTTTATGACATTGAATTTTAACAGCCATTCCTTTGACCAGTCCTGAAGCTGACAGAGATCTTTTTGTAATTCTTCACAGTTCATTTGGTTCTTAATTTCCCTGAATAACTTGATATTGTCCGTGAACATTTGTATGGAATGGTGTATAGCTTCTGGCATATCATTTAAGAAAGAAACAAACAAACAACAATGGGCCCAGTACACTGTCCTGTAGTACCCCACTTGTCACTGGTAAGTATGATAATTTCATGCCACTAATCACCACACACTACTTGTGGTCATGAAAAAAGTCTCTGGTCCATGCTAGGACACTTGCCGGAATCCCATACCATTCCAGTTTAATTTTCAACCTTTCACGGGGTACACTGTTGAAAGCCTTAGCAAAGTCCAAATATATATTGTTGGGATTGCCACTACGCTCCAGGATCTGGGTCCAAACATCCAGCACCTTCAGTAATTGCGTTAAGCAGGAGTGTCCTGGCATAAAACCATGTTGGCATTCTTTTTCAAGGTTGTTTTGTAATAGATGTTCCATCATGTCATTTCTTATAATGCTCTCTAGTATTTTACACACTATACTAGTCAAGCTCACTGGCATATAGGACTCATATACAGTATGCCATTTTCCAGTCACTGGGATCTTTTGCTCATCCATACATCTGCAGAACAGGATTTTAAGGAGCTCAGCAAGCTCCTTTCACATCTCTCTTAGCACTCTGGGATGCACATTGTCAGGGTCAGGGCTCTGGCTCTTATGAATCTTTAGCTTTGATAGTGCGTTCCAGCTAATATTCGACTGGTGGCCTTCAGCAGTTTGGTAATTATGGAGGGTATTTTTAGACACAATTTTGTATGCTGATTAATTTCACTTATATTCATTTTTGTGTAAATACTTAGGTTTCTAGATATAGGCGAGTTAAGATATCGATTAGGTTAGGTTAGGTTAGCACATGATTTCAGCCTTTTTTATATTTTTCCACAACATAATTTAGTATCCCCTAATAAATCAGTGAAAACTGGGTATTTTTAAACCCATTTTAAATGAAAAACTGCAGACCGTCACAATCCAAATAATAACCTGCATTCCCAAACATGTGTCAGTGCTGTGTTGAACTGTATTTCTTCAAATGCAGGGAGATTGTTAACATCTTGTTCTGTGAACATTGAGGAAAAGATTTTTTTTTTAAACCTCCGCTTTGTCCTGACCTCAGTCTGCCTAGCTACCCTCTTCAAGTCTCAGATCTGATACACCCACTTGTCTTTAATTTTCGACTTTGTCTAATAGCAGGTTTGACATGACCTTGCTTGCTTGTACAGTCTGACTTTACTTGGTTCCTGGACCTGTATGTATCTTCTGTCTTGCTCATCATTTGTCGCAACTCATCTCTTGAAATTCTGAGATTTCTTCTTAACCTTGTTAACCGCCTCATGGTTCATGTGCAACAGACTCCTTGTATTTAAGTAATATATTTATCAATCAAATACTTCACTTTACTGACTATGATGTTCAGGGTAGGGGTAATTGTTTTTCTTCCTTCAACTCCTGAGAAAACCTTGGAAGATTAAAAGTACAAAAAAATCTATTGTATTTTTCTATCCAATTTAGGTTATACAGTACCGTACAGTATTTCATATTCTTGAGGTAAAAAAAAAATATTTAAAATTTTTTGTTAGGTCGCTGGTTAACCTAGATATCTTTCAAGACCAGACTTGACAAGCACTGAAGCAGGTTCAGATACATTCAGGAGCCGGTGCATGCCCAGTACTTGCCAATAGTGCGTAACAGACGTGACCAATCGCCCAAGCGGCTAACGAGCTGATCAGTGGTGAAGAGGATAAAAGTAAAAGTAATGAATAATTAGTTACCAATATATGGTATACAGTATCATATTATGATATACCATTCATCTGTGGGAAAAGGACGAAATCAAACAACTCCTTCTGGTGGTAATGCTGTTCTCAGACATTACCCTCTTTTCTTTTAGCTCACAACAAACAGCTGATAATGGCAGCTCACCGAGGTGATGGGTCCACCGGGTATTGTCTTCACAATTAAAAAGTCGGAAAAACAGAAGTAGGACAGTTGCAATTCCTCCAAACTTTTCTTGATATTCAAAAGGTAAGAGTTAAGGTTTACAAAAGCGCTACCACCAGAAGTTGTTTGTTGTTTTTCTTTATTTTTGCTATACTTATTGTTTTGATGATTTTAAGAACTGTATATTAAAAGAAATGACAACTTTCTATTATAATTATAAGTATTTTTTAGGAATTTTTTAATTTACTCTACCGTACAATCTTAAATTCCTTGTTAGTGGGCAGGGCATCAAAGATGAGGGAAAGTATGGGGTAAAAACACGGCAAACACGGATGTTATGGCATTAAAATTACGTCTTAAGGTGCATTTGGAACGCCCAAATCATTTTCTTACCGTAAGTCAGTCCACTTTCAAAATTCCCCTGATGCCGCCACCCGCCATTGCTTATCCCTCTAAAAACTATATTAATAGTTTTTCATTACCTCTAATCCTTTTAATAAAATAATTATGCATCTTTATTAAGTTTAGAATTATGTATATACTGGTTTATTCTTCTTTTGATTACTTATTAAATGCAATCTCTGTTCTCTTTATATCACCTATAGTTTTTTACAGCGTCTCGAGACAATCGTTAGGTAGGGTTTTCTTGGTTCTTTTGCTTACTTTCATTGGCTTAAATATTTTGTCCACACTATGAGCATCATATTAAACACATAAATGAACACGATAATGCATGGAACCTAATAGAACCTGACCTAATAGGTTGGGTTTGTTACATCAGGTTCTACTAGGGTCTAATAGGTTTTATGCATTATCTTTTCCATTTCTGTGTTTAATATCATGCTAATAGTGTGTAGAAAATGTATAAACCAAATCACACATTTCCTCCTGGTGGTAGCACTTTCGTAAACCTTTACCGTAGATAAGAAACAAGTTTTCTTTTATAAATTTTATCCTAAAGAGACTCATATAAAGACACAACATTGTAAACTATTACCAAACTATCATTACTAGACAGGTACTACTATGTTCTTAGGTACAGTATTATGAACGTCTACACCATGAAACCTACATTACTGTACTGCTCATATTCATAGTCTTACATATTAATTACTATTATTTGCATACCAGAAATATATATATGCTAAACAAATACGAATCTACATAGCGATTTTATAGAATGAATAACCTAACCTAACCTATTCACCCACCCACCTACACTGGTAAACCAAGATATAGAAACAAGTATTCTTTAAATAACAAACATCAAGAGTAAAGTTGTCATTACCTTTCTAAACCAGTTTGAATGTCGATTGGCTGTACTTCATGTATGTCCTTCATCCTGTCTAACAAAAGTGGTGATACTTAATGAGGATAAATGATGAAGCAGTGTCCTTCTATCTTTTCTTCTCTTCCCGCTAAATTGTGTTTATTTACACTTGGTCGTAGTGATTTGGTAGATAAGACAAGAAGGTCCTCATCCTTAAGCTACGGAGGTCTGTAACGTTCGTACCGGATAAATTTATTTTTAATCAATAGATGGCGTAACGACTGTCGACATCTGTATAAAAGATCAAGGGTATTTTGTTTTATAAATTGATAAAGGGTGAATGGAAAGCTTGATAGACATATCAACTGATAGATAGATGCATAGGCATGTATATCAATTATTCATAGTTCAATATACAGTAGATATATGATACATAGATATATAGCAGGGGCGGATCCAGGGGGTCCGAACCTCCCTTTTTCATCAGAGAATTCCAATACTTGTACTTTAATGCAGTATTGTACTCAGATATTTTTAGATCTCCCTGTAGTTTTGTAAGAGTACTCGTCAGGTTTAATTACAAGCCCTATTTTAGTGTAATCAGCAAATTTACTTTTGTTGCTGTCTACGCCTATATCTATGTCGTTTATGTATATAATAAATAGTAATGGCCCAAGTACTGAGTCTTGGGGTACTCCACTAGTGACGTTCCCTCAATCGGATTTAGTGCCGTTAATGCTTACTCGCTGTTTTCTGTCCTGTAACCACTCCTTAATCCATTTTAGAATATTTCCTCCAATTCCATGAGCCTCCACTTTATGTATCAGTCTTTCGTGGGGGACTCTGTCGAAGGCTTTGCTAAAGTAGAGGTATACTACATCATAATCGTGCCCGTCGTCCACTGATTCGAAAACAGGCGAAAAAAAAATAGATTAGTCAGATATGAACGCCCACTTGTGAAGTCATGTTGGAAATCATTGATCAACCTGTGATTCTCGAGGTGATTTCGAATAGAGTTTGAAATTATTGCTTCTAGCAATTTGCCTACAAGTGATGTTAAACTGAATGGACGGTAGTTAGAGGACAGTGATCTATCTCCCTTCTTGAAAATCGGTATCACATTCGCTATCCCTCCACTAAGTACTGTTAAAATTTCAAGCAGAAATAAAATTTTGGTTTTCAAGTTTTGTTGCTGCCCAGGTACCTAAGTAGTTCATTAATTATAATAACTAGTTGTATTGCACGTACGATGTATATTATTTTTAGTTTGAACCAATAAACTACAGGCATCAGAAGTGGAGAGGTTAATGCTATAAAGCATTTGCCAGTCCTGCGACCATTTGAACAGCTCATGCATATCTTTTTGCAGGGTTTCTACGTCAACTTATCCAGCCACCTTCCCAAATATCTTCGCGTCGTCTGCAAACTTGATAATATGGCTCAATATATATATATATATATATATATATATATATATATATATATATATATATATATATATATATATATATATATATATATATATATATATATATATATATATATATTTTTTTTTTTTTTTGGAGGAGTTACAAAGAATACTGTATTAATTTTTACTTATATCCTCTTTACCACTGATCGGCTCGTTAGCCGCTTGGGCGATCTGTCACGTCTCTGATTACTTTTATGGGGCGAACCTTTCTGTCTTTGGGCTCCTTGTTGACCATGTGTGACGCCCACAGTTACGAATGTTTCATTGTGTTTTCCTCATCGTTATGGCATTAAATCAGTATATCTGAAAGATAAAGGTACAGTACATTATTGTGGGAAGCAGCCGAAAACTACGAATAAAATATTTTTTTTTTACTTGATTCGTCATTATCATATTAACTGAAATTGGTAAAAAATCCAGTATTATTTCTTGAATGGGGAGTTTGGTGTATGTAAAAAAAATATTGCAGAGAGAGAGAGAGAGATAGAGAGAATAATGGGTTACAGTGTACTCGTATATGAATATATTCGCAAGGTCACCGTAAACAAACATTTGACGTCAATATCGAAGAGAACCACTGCTCTACATTCAGCTCATTTATGTACTGTGACAAATTACAGACACACTATTTCTCCGACTTGATAACTTTTGTTTTTGTTTTAGATGATTAACTAAATATGACCTTTAAGACATTTATTATAATTGTTTAAGTTGAAGAAGTTTTCGCTGTGGACTGTGTGACTGTCGAGGTGTAAGAATGTGTGAATATCGATGAATAAGACCCTCTTTGTGGGCTGTGTGGCTGTCAAGGACGAAGACCTCGGGTGGACTGTGGACCCAATTGCCGTCGAGGGAAATGCCATTCTTTTGTTTTTTGGTTGAGTGTTGCCGAGTCAGTGTGGGCCGGTGGAGAAGAAAGGGTCAATGGCACTTCATCACTCTATAAAAGTGAACATCCTCAAGTACCTCAAGTGAAGTCAGCAAGTTGGAGCATGGAGTGAAGTCAGCAAGTTGGGGCATGGAGTGAAGTCAGCAAGTTGGGGCATGGAGTGAAGTCAGCAAGTTGGGGCATGGAGTGAAGTCAGCAAGTTGGGGCATGGAGTGAAGTCAACAAGTTGGGGCATGGAGTGAAGTCAGCAAGTTGGGGCATGGAGGAAGTCAGCAAGTTGGGGGCATGGAGTTGATGGAGGAAGTCAGCAAGTTGGGGCATGGAGTGAAGTCAGCAAGTTGGGGCATGGAGTGAAGTCAGCAAGTTGGGGCATGGAGTGAAGTCAGCAAGTTGGGAGATGGAGTGAAGCCAGCAAGTTGGGGCATGGAGTGAAGTCAGCAAGTTGGGACATGGAGTGAAGTCAGCAAGTTGGGACATGGAGTGAAGTCAGCAAGTTGGGACATGGAGTGAAGCCAGTAAATTGGGACATGGAGTGAAGCCAGTAAATTGGGCAGGGCCGGATTTACCAATGGGCCAAGTAGGCCATTGGCCTAGGGCCCACCGGTATCTGGGGGCCCACTGAAACTAATTTGTCGCGCAGCGTGCCAGCGTATAACCTTGTTTCAAGTGTACACCGAGTATTTCATTATATAATATATTCACAACCATAAGGGCCCCTGTACAATAAGTATAAGGACCGTAGTATGGGGCCCACTGGGCCCACCTTTGGGGGCCCACTGATGAGTTTGGCCTGGGGCCCACAAGTAGGTAAATCCGGCCCTGAAGTTGGGGCGTGTAATGAAGTCAGCAAGTTGGGACATGGAGTGAAGTCAGCAAGTTAGGACATGGAATGAAGTCAGCATGTTCGGACATGGAAAAAAACCTGAAACTAAAACCTTCACAGCCAGATTGAAAAACATACAAATTAAAAATCAGGAACGTTGAAGTCATTCCTAATAATTGTCGACCATTTTGTTTTCATTCCCATTTTCAATATTTTCCAAAGTAAACTCATTCCGTTTTTCTGCAGTTATAGAAAAATCAGTCAGCATCGAGCAATGTGAGTGTACCTTGCAGGCAATGTTTTTCTAATTACGTTTATAACACCATTATATTAATCACATAAACAGTGTAGAGTATTTTCTTCTTCTTTCACCTCTGTATGACTTTGAGGACATAAAAGTATATTTGCGATTGACTGGTTGATTGCATTTGGAATTCATCACATATATAAGATTACAATAGAATAAGAACACTATATCATAAAGTAAATAAATTATCAATTAGTGCATAAATAAAATTCCGTGGATAACACACACACCAAAAGACTAATATGCTTTTTCCCATCGCACGATGGTAAGGAAAATCTTTGCATGTAATTAAGTATATACAGTATATTTCTCATCTGTTCAATGATAACAAACGAGTGAACAGATCTCCATTATTTTCCTCAGACTCTGAATTATTGGATACATGTACTGTATGTAGTCAGTCGTACGAGGTGTAGGATCTTCGACCTTGTGTGTAGTCTGCTGCAGACCGCGACCCCGCAACTCAACCGTGATGGCCTAAGGTGTCAATGTACCATGTTTCATCCTTTAACTAAATCTGTGTAGTCTTCATAGCAAGGTAAGTAGAAATAACATTACACTTTAGCTAATTTTGTGAGGATCTACCAAATACGTATCGGTTCTTCGATATTTAACATTTGTCTTTAAGCTTGACGACAGCTGGCAACCCTCCTCCACCGTCAGCCAGGTGAAATTTAGTCAGGTAGTGAGTGGCGGACGATGGTATGTGGCGCACGGTTATTGTTCTTTTGTGCTGGTTGTGAGACTTGGTGAGGATAGTACTCTACAACATACCAGTGGAGTACCAAACAGCAACACAGGTAAGGCATAGTATAGCGGAATGGATGGTATATTGTCGTGTACGCTAGGATAGGGGCCAGTCCGTGTGTGTATGTCATGGCTGCCGCAGCCCCACCTTCCCCAGCCTAATATTTGGACAGCCTGGAGGACCCTACCAGGGGCATTGCTCCTTTCTCCAACATCCTAGGATCCCGGTGAAAGTGCTCGTACCCGCTGCCAGGCGCCAGCACCACGTCAGCGGCAGCTCATTTGTTGGCGACTCGGCGTTGACATCACCAGACTTCACCTTGTATTGTAGGATGGCTTACGGCCGTGATGGAGCGGTGGGTAGCGGGTACACTTTATTGACAAGACACAAGGGCGAATTATCAGGGTGGATCTATCGAAAATTTAAGGTGTTAAGTAACGGGCGGTGTATACAGCAGCCTTAACATACCGTGCACCCCCGACTTCACCTTGCACCCCCCCTCGCCAACCACATACAGTACGCTCCTCCCACCAGACTCACTAGGAGGCGGTGGTGTTCCTCCCGAGACCTCACGCACGGTAATCACTTAGTTAATAGATTTTAATTTGTTTGTTAAATATTTCGTTCTAATCACTAATTATACAACTGTAATGTTACGTCAGGGACCTTAGCTGTTGACTGTTGTATGTTGAAGGATTTATAATTTATTTTAATGGCGTATTAGATAAGTTATTTCTTGCGTAAGCTAGTGAGGCTTAACCCCGGGAGCATGACATACATATTTATGAAAGTTGGCTTTTTGTTAATCGTTTGCTATTGACTTAATTTTGTTTACACACATTCAGAGTCAGTTTGTGTGCAAGGTTAGGCATGTTGGATTATGTTGCGTCATCCACCACTTAACACAAAAATAACTTCATAAATATGTATGACAATATGTAGATCAGTAACGTA